CGTCGTCTTCCAAGGTCATGCCCGTCTCCGGTCTTTCTCTCCTCTGTTCGTCTCAGTTTCCCCTCCGGATCCTGTCATTCTCTTCCTTTTCGCTCTACCCCCGTATAGTATTCTTCTACTTGCGGGTGGGCTGAAGACTCCTCGTGCGACTTGATCGCACGTCCATTCCTTCATCCGGATTCTGTCGCTCTTTACTGCCCTCGCCCATCCACATAAATCCCCCCAAATCTCGTCGAGCTTCACTTCGAGCCTGTTCTGGCTGCCTTTCACTTTGCATAGGATCTACATACTTTGACCACTATCTACCGACCGATCTACAGAGAGATCCTCTCTTAAGGACCCCATCATGTCGTCGTTCCTTTACCTCGTGGCCCTCTTGGTGGCCAGCATCTGTTCGGTGACCGCCCAGACATGGACATCGTGCAACCCTCTCAAGAAGACCTGTCCGGCTGATCAAGCCCTGGGTATAAATACTACCTTCACTTTCAATCAGACTGTCGACCATACCATCTGGAACGTCACCAACGGAGCCTTGTCGCACACCAGCGAGGGAACCCACTTTACCATCACAGGAGAGAACCAATCGCCCACGATGCAGTCGAATTTCTACATCTTCTTCGGTATTGTCGAGTCCCACATCAAGATGGCCAAGGGCGCCGGCATCATCAGCAGTATCGTGCTGCAGTCGAACGACCTGGACGAGATTGACTGGGAATGGGTGGGTTACAACACCAGCGAGGTCCAGTCCAACTATTTCGGCAAGGGTAACAATGAGACATTCGACCGCGGCGGGTATCACTATGTCCCCAATGCCGACACGGAATTCCACAACTACACCACTCACTGGACCCAGGAGAAGCTGGAGTGGTGGATTGACGGCAATCTCGTCCGGACCTTGACATACGAAGACTCCCAGGGGAACGGCACGTATTACCCGCAGACTCCTTGCAACATCCGTTATGGCATTTGGCCTGCCGGTATCGAGTCGAATGCGAAGGGCACAATCGAATGGGCCGGTGGTCTGGTGGACTACTCGAAAGCTCCTTTTACCATGGTCCTCCAGAGCGTCCGTGTGCATGATTTCCACACCGGCAAGGAGTACAGCTACACCGATCACTCTGGAGCCTGGCAGAGCATCGATGTCATCTCGTAAGTCTGCCGCTGTTCTTGGCAAAATACATACTAATCCGATACCGACAGGGGTAACTCCACCGTCGCCAATGCCATCCTCAACCCACCAAAATCCTTGTCCCAGAAGTGGGCCGAACTCCCGACCGGAGCCAAGACCGGTGTATACATCGGGGCCGGGTGCGTTGGAGCTGCTATGCTCGCCGGATTCATCTTCTTCTTCATCGCGCAGCGCAAGAAGGGCCGTCTCGAACATGCGCTCGAGGATGCCAAGTGGGCCAATGAACGCACCGAAATGAGCACTTTCCAGAACGATTGGAAGCAGAGCGAATGGAAACACAAGGGATACCAGCCGGTCAACTAGCCCTTGCCGTTGCAACTTGTCTCGTTTCTTCCGCTCAGCAAGGGATGTCCCCACCTTGATGCTCTTTTTACCGTCGGTGTTTCAGAGACCTACGTTTATCCCCGTGCTGCTTGCTGGTCAGACCGCACGGTGGTATCCATGGACTCGGGGTTGGGCGTCTGTTTGGTCGACTAGGTCTTTCACCTACTCATTTCCTGATCTCCTCATGGCCATATCTCGTGTCAGATCCGCTGTCTCCTCTTGTCTTTGATCGTCTCGGCTTTGTTCCTGCTTTGTATTCGTATATACCAATGCGCATGTATTTGAATTTATTGCCTTACCTCAATCTAGCATTTATCGACTGTCTCATCGTGCAGATCTGCTCATAGACTTTAGCAACCAAGCAACAGCATGAATATCAGGATAGTCATGATGATTCAGGTCTAGAGCGGGGTATATGATAGCCACTGGTAGATGCAACCTACAACCACCTCTTCTCATCCGACCCCAAAGGCTTCGGCATAACATCCCACCCCACCTCGACCCCCTCCACCGCAGCAGAATGCTTCACAAACGTCATCTCCCCGAACCCCGTCTGCCTCGTCTCGAGGTACTCTCCTGGCACATCCGCCAGACACGTATAATCCCGCCCCTCGAACCCCGTCCTCCCCTCATACTGCCCCAGCGACCGCAGATACTTCATCACCCCCGCCAGCGACACATCCACCGCCCACGACCCCCCCTCGACAGCCTGCCGATACACCGCCGCCTCAACCCCCGCCGCGAGGAAATACCCCGCCGCATGATCCAGCACCTGGCACGGCGCCGCGCGCCCCGCCTCCCCAGCGCCGTAGTGCTCCGCCTCGGACACATTCATGCCCGAACACGTCTGCACCAGCGAGTCGAAGCCGCGGCGCGCCCGCCACGGACCGTCGGGACCATACGCTGATAGATTCGCGCAGATGATCCCCCTGCCGGCCTGCTCCGCGGCCCGCGCCGCCAACGCCTGCTCTGAGAACCCCCGCGCCGCGAGAGCTCCCGGCCGGTACCCCTGTACGAAGACGTGGGCGTCGTCAAGCAGCTGCCAGAGCTCTGCGGACCCTTGAGGCGCGGAGAGATCGATCTGGATGGTGCGCTTGCCGCGGCCGAATTCCCGGTCGATGGGGGGCAGGTCTGGGAGGTTGGGGCTGGTCACCCAGAGGACGTCTGCGCCGTGGGCGGCGAGCGTCTTGCCGGAGAGTGGGGTTGCGATGACGCGGGAGAGCTCGAGCACGCGTAGTCCGCGGAGGCACTTGTCTGTGGGTGCGCTGCGCATGGACGGTGGTAGGCCCTGCGGTGCATCGCCGATCCGGCGGAGGAGGATGGGGAGGTTGGCGACGGCACGGGCTTGCGGGGTAACGTCCCACTGGGCGTAGGATCTCAGGGCTGAGATGACGCAGCCGGCGTCGAAGGCGGCGGTTTCGAGGTCGACAGAGCGCCAGGGGGCGATGGCGGCGCTGACGGTGGGGCGGTCGGCGGCTGGTGAGCAGCCCAGAAGGGACTTTGCGCCGTTGCTGTGGTTGGGGAAGCCGTCGTGGACGCGGACGTGGCCGTCGGAGGTCCGGTGGAGGCCGCTGAGGGGGCCCCAGAGGTTTTGGGCGGGTTGGCCGGCGAGAGTGTACAGTCTCTCGGACTTGAATTCGATGATGGCGTGCTGGCGGCGCACGGTCACCGCGGGGACTGGGGAGGCAGTGCGGAGGGTGTATATCTGCGCCGCGAGGAGGGCCGAGAGCCCTATGGATGCTTGCGCGAGGTCGGCTATCTTGAAGGACGAGGGGAGGCCCGGTCCGCTACCTTTTAGGTCGAGAGCCTCCAGCGACTCGGCGGGGAGCCCGAGGTGCTTCCAGATATACTCCACGCTGTCTTTTGCTGTGAAGGATGTCCTGTCTGGGACGGGCTGTCTTTCGGACTGTGCCTGAGCCATGTTGTATGCAGGTGTATGTAGGCTTTGTAGGCTTCTATATCGATGTCTGAATCTTGACGCTGCTGTTGACAATCGTCGCTGCGAGAGAACCAAGGTCCTCATGTCCGCATGTCACCTTACTGCAATGCAACCCTTTAATCCAGTCGGTCCTAGTAGCTGTTAATATATACCCAGTCAGCCAGTCTTGAGATGCCACCGACTCAACCGGATAAGATGCCGAATACGAACCCGCTCGGCAGTCGGAACAGAAGATATTCAGCATCATCTGCCTGGAAATCGAGTCCAATGCGAGGACATTCTACAGCATACTGATAAAAAGCTCGCTCATGGGCAAAAAAACATTCACTATGTAGTGGATAGCAGCAGGACGGGTGAGGGAGCAAAAAACAAAAGGGATGCGATCCCGGTGCGACTCGAACGCACAACCTTTAGTACCGGAAACTAATGCGCTACCATTGCGCCACGAGACCATATTCTATGTCATTAGTAGGAAAATTATCTTTCATGCAACTCGGTTATAGAATTGTGTCCATCTCAGGAAATTCAGTCTACTCGTCTAAGTCGATCTGGTATTTTGGCATCCTCGGAACATGCTCTCAACAAACACTTCAATTCCCGAGTGCTACGCACCTTGTTAGGACCCTCAGGAGCTCTTTATGCTTATACTGATGTCTGCAAGAAGTCATTGATGCAAACACATGTGATTGACACATTGCTGCGCCTTGGTCTACTCCAGCCAACCATGTTCAACTTTCGCTTCAATAATCATAGTCTAACTGACCACTAGTTGACCAATATGCAATTTTTGGAATGCAGCATGATAAAACCTTGACAAATGGTCGGCAAACAGAATACTCGCTCGAGGTTACTAGATGGAGGTTTGTCGCACGAAATTCCCTGATTCAGTGATGTTCACCGAGATTAGTTTCGTTCACCCCGGAGTTACATACTAGTCGGGTATATCGTGCGACTGCTGATGATGATTGCGAGTCTCGCTATCCGGGTAGACTGTTGTTGTCCCGTCCTCCTGCTACATCCGACGGAAACGCGTGCTTGAATGGCTCTCTGGTGTCGTCACTCGTGTTCCTGAAACCGGCATGAAGTCTGCATTGCCTGGTGCTCTGCGGAGTAGGTGCCTGACCTGCTGTACTATGGCCTGGGGGTACTATGACATTACGATTCATGATTAGTCCCTAGCCGAGAAGACTTTTGATCGACAGGATGACGATTGGAGATTACGTAGTCGAACATCACTTTGTCTCTCCCCAGCCGAAAAACTGATCTATCTGATGCCGCTATCCATGCAGGCTGCAGCCGTTCAAGGGGTTCTCTCCATGATCAATTACATGTGGAGTCTCGGGCGAAGATGCCTTTCTTCACGCATCCATCATGCAATCTAGGTCCACTGCTCATTGGATTCTTCCGAGCGGAGTCTTCAGATGTGGTATATTAAGCTAACAGCAGGTGTATTTATATCGAAGAAGTTCCCCATCAGAACTTCTCTCTCTTGCATTGTCTTCACCATCTCTCCTACTCTTGAGCCGCATTTGTTCTTCTAAGGATACAATGCCCCCGTTCGCGTTCAGGGGCCTCGCCTCGATGGCCTTGGGCGCTGCAGTCGCCCAAGCCCAGCTCTGGGACCAAGTCATTCAGACCAACTATGGCCCCGTTCAAGGCTTCAAGTACTTCAACGAGTCTACGCTTGAGAAATTCTTTGGCATCTCCGAGTCCAACGTGACGGCTTTCTTAGGCATCCCATTTGCAGCGGATACCGGTTATCAAAACCGCTGGAAGCCGCCCCAGCCTCGCGAACCGTGGAATGAAACCTTGAAGGCCACCGAGTTCGGCCCTCGGTGTCCCACCGACGAGTCCAGCTACATCAGCGAGGATTGCCTGAGTCTGAATCTATGGACCAATGCCGGCTCCGCGGATGCGAAGCTGCCCGTCATGGTCTGGAACCAGGGCTCGGATGAGACCAGCGATAATACCTGGTGGTATGGCGGCGGGATGGCCTTGAAGGATGTCATCCTCATTACCTTCAACCGCAGAGATGATGTGTTCGGATACCTGGCGCATCCAGATCTGAATGCAGAGGGTCTGGCAGCCACTGGTCACGAAACGTCGGGAAACTATGGAGTGCTTGATCAACTTGAGGTGCTGAAATGGGTGAAGAAGAACATCGCCAACTTCGGTGGTGACCCTGACCGGGTGGTAGTGGCCGGCCAGTCCTTTGGCTCTTCCCAGGTCTACCATGCTGTGAACAGCCCACTGTTCAAAGGCTACTTCCATGGTGGCATCTCTCAGTCTGGCATCCGCTACCCATATGACCCACTGCTGGCTGGTCTCGCCACTTCCTATGTCAACATGTCCACGGCTCTCATCCACGGTGCCGACTACATCGCCGCCCATAATGTCTCCAGCATTGCCGAATTGCGCACATTGTCTATGGAGGAGGTGCTGGTCGGCTCGCAGGACCGTGTCAACGGCACTTGGATGTCGTGGGTCACTGCTCTGTCTGCTGGCTATCCCCTGATCTTCAAGCCGGTCCTCGACAACTATGTTCTCCCCTCCAAGTACATCGAGACGCTCCGCAACGGCCCCGCCAACGATGTCCCCGTCATCACAGGCAACACAAAGGACGAGTCTGGCGCCTCCCCGTCCACCGACTACACCGTGGAGCAATACGAGAACTACACCTCGCACAAATACGGCGACCTCTACAACCGCTACATCAAGCTGTACCCGGACAACGGCAACCAAACCACCGCTGACCAAGCCTGGAACGCCGCGGCCCGCGACGCCGGACTGGTCGGTTCGTGGGCCTACGCCACCGAGTGGTACAAGGCTGCGTCCGCCCCCTTCTACACCTACTACTGGACTCACGCCCCGCCCGGCCAGAACCAAGGCGCCTTCCACCAGTCGGAGATCATGTATGCCCTGAACGCTCTATACGCCAATGCCGACCAGTATCCTTTCACCGAAGCGGACTACGAGATCCAGGAGAAGATGTCCGCCTACTGGGCCAATTTTGCAAAGACGCTGAATCCGAATAAGGGCGGCTCTTACACCGGCAAAGGGGCGTTGCCGCGCTGGAGCCCTAACAGCCCCAATGGCACCCAGGTGGTCATGGAACTAGGCAATGCATTCACCAAAGTGCCCATTGCCAAGAGGGAGCAGGTTGAGTTTCTGATGGAGTGGTACCACCAACAGATCCCATATTAGGTGCTAGGAGCAAGTGTCATGTTTTCAGGAATGGAAGCGTTAGATGTGCAGCAGATGTAGTGTATAGCCTAAGATAGAAAAATTGAATGGCCTACAACCATCCACTAGCATCTCTGGTAGAATGACTCCAAGTTAAAATGGAAGTTGCAGATAAAAAAGGAAGCAAAAAGAAACGATCCCGGTGCGATTCGAACGCACAGCCTTTAGTACCGGAAACTAACGCGCTACCATTGCGCCACGAGACCGGGTTGATGGCTTTGGGCAGATTTTATGCTACATATTCTAGTACATAGGATAATGCAACTATGGAGTCCCAACTCCCTAGGTCACCCTGGTCCTTAGGCACCAGTTGATGAGCCAATCATATGGCCGCATTAAAATAGGCCTAACGGCGTCTCCGTCGGTCTTGGACCTCTTGGTTCGTCTTCTAGACTCTTCTTTAAACTCCTAGTCCCGCTGGCAATCTTTTCCCTAATATGGGATTCTCTCCGGTCTATGCACTCGTGGACTTATCCGTGTCTGTTATTTTTTCAAGCACCGGCTGATTTACCACCGACTCTCCGATGCTTTTTTTTTGACCTGCAAACGGCCAGCACGGCAAGCCGAGGATCTCTTGGACGATACTAAGAATGATGCGCTTATACGGTCTTTGTGTTCATAATTGACCCACTAACTCTCAGTGCAAGTATCTATGACATAACTGCATCAAGACGGTTATGATCTTCCTCGGCACTTCTCTTGTCTCAGGCATAGGGAGGTGTTTTGCGATTTAATCCAAAACTCTGATGCATTGAGATCTCACGTGGGGTCGTGCATCGCCAGCCATACGTCGAGTTGAGACGGATTTAAATCCTTCGAACCCCTCTTTGCGCTGTCCACCATGTCATAACATTATATGCATTTCCACTCGCGTGTATAGTAATATTATCAAATCTGAAGACTATCATTGAAGTTTCGGTTTACTCCCATGATTCCGGAGCATCTGTGATATCTCACGCACCATGAGCGACTCGAAAACGATCCTCATCCCGGGGCCCAGAGGAGTGCCTCTGCTGGGAAACATTTATGATATCGAGCAAGAGGTGCCTCTGAGAAGTATTAATGTGATGGCGGATCAATATGGTACGTTGGCTTGGCGTCATATTCCGAGATTCCTCTAGCTAACTATTCACAAGGCCCTATCTATCGACTGACAACGTTTGGCTGGTCCAGAGTATTCGTCAGCACCCACGAACTCGTCGACGAAGTCTGCAACGAAGAGCGATTCACAAAGATCGTCACAGCGGGATTGAATCAGATTCGAAACGGGGCTCACGATGGTTTGTTCACGGCCAATTACCCAGGGGAGGAAAACTGGGCGATTGCTCATCGTGTGCTCGTTCCGGCCTTTGGACCTCTGTCCATCCGAGGCATGTTTGACGGTAGGGTGCCTGATCAACCGTGCCTTGCGCTTCTCTGACATGACAGTCAGAAATGTACGACATCGCGACGCAGCTCGTCATGAAATGGGCGCGACAAGGACCGACCGTTCCTATTATGGTGACCGATGATTTCACCCGATTGACCTTGGACACCATCGCCCTTTGCGCGATGGGAACCCGTTTCAATTCTTTCTACCACGAGGAGATGCACCCTTTTGTCGAGGCCATGGTGGGCCTGTTGCAGGGATCCGGTGACCGGGCTCGTAAACCGGCGCTGCTCAACAATCTGCCCACGAGTGAGAACGCAAAGTATTGGAACGACATCACCTTTCTACGGAATCTAGCGCAGGAATTGGTCGAAGCACGGAGGAAGAATCCCGAGGATAAGAAGGATCTTCTGAATGCTCTGATCTTGGGGCGTGATCCCAAGACTGGCAAGGGCTTGACCGACGAGTCGATCATTGACAATATGATCACATTCCTAATTGCTGGTACGTCCTCTACCAATTTACTTCTAAGATTCTCAGCTGATGATGCAAGGTCATGAAACGACGTCCGGCCTGCTCTCCTTCCTCTTCTACTACCTGCTGAAAACCCCCCATGCATACAAGAAAGCGCAAGAGGAGGTTGACTCTGTCATTGGACGGCGGAAGATCACTGTGGAGGATATGTCCAAGTTGCCGTATCTCAACGCTGTGCTGCGAGAGACGCTGCGTCTGAAGTCTACAGCCCCTCTAATTGCCGTACATGCACACCCAGAGAAAAACAAGGAGGATCCCGTGACCCTGGGAGGCGGCAAGTATGTATTGAACAAGGATGAGCCCATTGTGATCATCCTGGACAAGCTGCACCGCGACCCCCAGGTCTATGGCCCCGATGCAGAAGAGTTCAAGCCGGAGCGAATGCTCGACGAGAACTTCGAAAAGCTTCCCAGGAACGCCTGGAAGCCGTTCGGCAACGGGATGCGGGCCTGCATCGGCCGCCCTTTTGCCTGGCAGGAAGCCTTGCTGGTAGTGGCCATCCTGCTGCAGACCTTCAACTTTCAGATGGACGATCCCAGCTACGATCTTCGCATAAAGCAGACGCTCACCGTCAAACCAAAGGGCTTTCACATGAGAGCAACTCTGAGGCATGGTCTGGATGCTACCAAACTCGGCATTGCCCTGAGCGGCACCGCGGACAGTGCGCCGCCAGAGAGCTCGAAAGCGGCGAGCAGGGCTCGCAAGCAAGCTCCTCCGCCTGGTCAGCTCAAACCGATGCACATCTTCTTTGGAAGCAACACAGGGACATGCGACACATTTGCGCGCAGATTGGCCGACGATGCCGTGGGATATGGATTTGCTGCCGACGTCCAGTCCCTGGATTCCGCCATGGAGAATGTTCCGAAAGACGGACCTGTGGTGTTCATCACGGCATCATACGAAGGCCAACCTCCCGATAATGCTGCTCACTTTTTCGAGTGGCTCAGCGCCTTGAAGGAAAATGAGCTCGAGGGTGTTGATTATGCCGTGTTTGGCTGTGGTCATCGTGAGTACCCTTCTCTCTTCCTATCAGTCTATGCCTGCCATACCATGCCTATGACTTGAACTATACAGTTGCTAAGTTTACTAGACGATTGGCAGGCTACCTTCCACCGCATCCCCAAAGCGGTCAATCAGCTTGTTGCGGAGCATGGAGGAAACCGGCTGTGTGATATTGGATTAGCCGACGCGGCCAACTCGGACATGTTCACCGACTTTGACTCATGGGGCGAGTCCGCCTTCTGGCCCGCAATCACATCCAAGTTTGGAGGTGGAAAGTCCGACGAGCCTAAATCGTCATCCAGTCTGCAGGTAGAGGTCAGCACGGGAATGCGCGCCTCGACCCTAGGTCTTCAGCTCCAGGAAGGATTCGTGGTCGACAACCAGTTGCTTTCGGCGCCCGACGTCCCGGCCAAGAGAATGATTCGGTTCAAACTCCCTTCGGATATGAGCTACCGATGTGGAGATTACCTGGCTGTGCTGCCCGTGAACCCGAGTAGCGTCGTTCGCCGGGCCATTCGACGTTTCGATATTCCCTGGGATGCCATGCTCACGATCCGCAAAACGAGCCAGGCCGTCAAGGGCTCCACATCGATTCCCCTTGACACGCCCATCTCGGCTTTCGAACTTCTCTCCACCTATGTGGAGCTCTCTCAGCCGGCCTCTAAGCGCGATCTGACGGCACTGGCAGACGCGGCCGTCACCGACGCCGACGTGCAGGCTGAACTGCGCTATCTCGCCTCAAGTCCCACTCGATTCGCCGAGGAAATCGTCAAGAAACGGATGAGTCCGTTGGATTTGCTGGTCCGGTATCCTTCAATCAAGCTGCCTGTCGGCGACTTCTTGGCTATGCTCCCGCCCATGCGGGTCCGTCAATACTCCATCTCCTCTTCTCCGCTGGCGGATCCTTCCGAATGTTCGATCACATTTTCTGTGCTTAACGCGCCGTCTCTGGCCGCAGAATCGTTGCCACCCGCCGAGCGAGCAGAAGCTGAGCAGTACATGGGAGTCGCTTCCACCTACTTGTCCGAGCTGAAGCCGGGCGAGCGTGCGCATATCGCCGTGCGGCCGTCTCATTCCGGCTTCAAGCCGCCGATGGATCTGAAGACACCAATGATTATGGCGTGCGCGGGAAGCGGACTTGCGCCCTTCCGCGGGTTCATCATGGATCGCGCCGAGCAGATCCGGGGGAGGCGCAGCYCGATCGGAGCTGATGGCCAGCTTCCCGAGGTCGGACGGCCCGCCAAAGCTATACTCTACGTGGGCTGCCGCACCCAAGGCAAGGATGACATCCACGCGGCCGAGCTTGCGGAGTGGGCTCAACTGGGCGCTGTGGACGTGAGGTGGGCTTACAGCCGGCCCGAGAACGGGTCCAAGGGCCGTCATGTGCAGGATCTGATGCTGGAGGACCGCGAAGAATTGGTCAGTCTGTTTGACCAGGGCGCTCGGATCTATGTGTGTGGCAGCACAGGCATAGGGAACGGGGTGCGCCAGGCCTGCAAGGACATTTACCTGGAGAGGAGACGCCAATTGCGACAAGAGGCACGGGAACGTGGTGATATCCCTGCAGAGGATGACGAGGACACTGCGGCCGAGCAGTTCTTGGATAATCTAAAGACAAAGGAGCGATACGCGACGGATGTATTTACTTGAGGGTGTATAGCAGTCACACAGGCTCACGAATGATCTTTAGGTCCAGTAGTCTCTCTCAATCCTGTCTCCATAAACGGCTGTAGATAATGCTGCATTGGCAGCTTCATTTAGCGTGCTTGGCTGCACCTTGGCTGCGTCTTGGCTCTACAACGTGGGCTTCATCAGCGACTGTTACTGGTGCAAAGGATCAATATGTAGATTGCCCTGTTAATTTACGGTTTACCTCTCTCTCTCCTGAGTCCTGACCATAGTTTAATCTGTATCCAAGACAATTGCTCCGGAGTCCGCCGAGATAAACGACCCCTCACGATCCGAGTATAAAACATGCGCCAGTCTCAAGTCTCTGCAATCCTTTCTCAGAAAGAGCAATACTCCCTCTGGCAAAGTCGGTAAAATGAAGATAAAAGCAGCCTCCCTCTTCGTCTGCGTCTCGGCGCTCGTCGCCTCGACCTCAGCCCTCACCATCAGCCAAATCAACGGAAACCAATACCTCTCGCCCTACGCAGGCAAAACGGTCTCCAACATCCAAGGCCTGGTAACAGCCAAAGGCTCCACAGGCTTCTATTTACGGTCAACAACCCCAGACGACGACGACGCCACCTCGGAATCCATCTACGTGTACGGCAGCACGGCCGTCTCCAAAGTCTCCGTCGGCGACATCATCACCCTCACAGGCAAGGTATCCGAGTTCCGCTCGTCGTCCTCGTACGTGTATCTCACGGAACTCACCTCGCCGTCTGCCATCAGCGTCGTCTCGAGCGGCAATGCCGTCGTGCCGGTGGTGGTGGGCAGGGGCGGCCGGGCCCCGCCTACGGAGCAGTTCTCCTCGCTGGACGGCGGGGATGTGCTTGCTGTGCCGAACAACGCGAGCCAGATCAGCACGGCCAACCCGGTGCTGCAGCCGGGGCAGTACGGGATGGACTTTTGGGAGAGTCTGAGCGGGGAGTTGGTGCGGGTGTCGAATGTGCGGGCGATTGCGAAGCCGAACGCGTATGGGGATACGTGGGTGCTTGGGGATTGGGAGGTGAGTGGGGAGAATGAGAGGGGTGGGTTGACCATGCGCGATAAGGGTATGCTTCCCTTCTCTTAGAATTATTCTTCGGTTCCAGGGCGAAGGCTTGAAGCTGGCGAGGTGCTGACGAGCGTAGATTTGAACCCCGAGGCTGTCATCGTTGGGTCGCCGCTGGATGGCAGTAAGAATCCTACCGATACCAAGCTGGGGGATTCGATTGGGGATATCACGGGCGTTATTGCCCCGGCGTACGGGTACTATGCGCTGCTTCCACTGACTGCATTGACTGTCACCGGGTCGAACACGACGGCCGCTGCTGCTACGGACCTGGAGTCGGCTGGAACCTGCTGCGCTGTGACGGTTGGCTCGTACAATGTCAACAACCTCGCTCCCAACTCGACGACGCTGCCCAAGGTCGCCCAGCACATTGCGCAGTACCTGAAGAGTCCGACGCTGGTCTTTTTGCAGGAAGTCCAGGATGATGACGGGCCGACTGATGACGGCGGTATGCTTTCCTCTCTTTCTCCCTGACGATGGCTAAGGCTATGGCAGTGGTATCCGCCAACAAGACACTCTCAACCCTGGTGCAGTCCATTGCGGCCCAAGGCGGCATCACCTACTCCTTCGTCGATATTGACCCGGGCAACAAGGAGGACGGCGGCGAGCCAGGCGGGAACATCCGCGTCGCCTACCTGTACGATGCCTCCGTAATCCGCCTGCGCAACGCCAACCCCGGCTCCAACACCGACGCCAACGAGGTCCTCGCCGGCCCCGAACTCAAGTACAACCCTGGCCTGATCGACCCGTCCAATGCCGTCTGGGCCAACAGCCGCAAGCCGCTGGCCGCAGCCTGGGAAACGCTCGACGGCAAGAACAAGTTCTTCACGGTGAATGTGCACTTCACCAGTAAGGGCGGCGGAACATCAATCGAGGGCAATGCCCGGCCGCCGGTGAACGGGGGGGTCGCCAAGCGCGAGTCGCAGGCCAAGCTCGTTGCTGTACGTTGCCTCATTTTCTAGGTTGAACGCTACTAATGACAAAAGGCATTTACTTCGTCCATCCTGGCCGAAGACTGCAGCGCCAAGATCATCAGCTCGGGCGACTTTAACGAATTCACCTTTGCGCAGCCGTTGGAGACCTTCCTGGCTGAATCCGGGCTGGAGGATCTCGACGAGGTCGCTGGCATTGCAACCACGGAGCGGTACACGTATCTGTACGACATGAACTGCCAGCAGCTGGACCACATGTTTGTGAGCCCGGCGCTGGCGGACGGAGCGGAGATGCACCATCTGCACGTCAACACCTGGGTTTCGTACGACGACCAGGCAAGCGACCATGATCCTACGGTGGCGTTGCTGAACGTGTGTAGCTAGCTCGTTTCACCTATAGCAAGAGCAATTGCCTTCTAGCATCTAATAACAAAGCAACTATTGGGTACAGTAAATCATCCAGAAACAGCCTTGAGCAACGCAGGATCAATCTCCGGCAACCGGGAATCAGGCTTATAGCATCCATAAAACAGATTGCAGCACAGACACTCCGCCGTGCAATGCCCGTACACACCCCCCTTCATCCTCTTCCCATTAGCCAACGGAATAAACAGTTCCCACAGAGGCACACTACAGCACCCACACAGCCGGCCACAGCACCCCCCATGCATCGCACACGTATACCGGTGCTCCTCCCACGCCAGCGTCTGCCCCTTCTCGTTATGCGTGGTCCGCAGGAACTCAAACTCGTGGTAATCCCCCGCCCGGCCGCCCGTCGGATGCGCCGCCAGCGTACTCTGCAGCGTCTCCAGGTGCTCGCGGTAGAGGCGCTTCAGCGCGGAGACCATCTCGTCGAGCGTGCTGCTGCTGTACGGCGGGGGATCGGCGCTCTTGCTATCTTGCCTGTCTTCCCTGCCGAGGGTCTGCAGGGCGTTGATGCGCTGGAGGATTGCAAAGCCTTTGCTCTGCTCTTTGTGGTACTTGGCTATCCAGTCTTTGTAGATTTTGGAGTCGTTGGGGACGGCGCTGGCGTCCGCGGCGGCCTTTTCTTTGAGCTTGGCGCGGGTTTTTTGGGTCTGGGAGTGCTCGTGGCGCTTTTTGAGGTCGCTGAGGAGCTTGCTGCGTTCCATTGTTTGGGGTTCTGGGTTGGATTGTTGTGAAGATCATCGTAGGATAGTGTGGGATGACTATGAAGATTGTTCTGAGGATTGTCTTGATGTCGTGACAAGTGATTCAAGTCTGTGGTGTCATAGTGATCAGTACATTGAGAGGTATAGTGTATAGTGTATGTTATGCCTGAAAGATCAGGTTCATCTATATCTACTTCATTTCCAAGTATAATCACACCTCATTAAGCTCTTGCACATGAAATCGACCTTGATACGCTCCATCTCCATCTGTGCTGTTCCTCAAGCAAATGTAGATACAGGTACATATATAGCAATGATACAACTAGAATATGGCGACCTGTGAGATCAACACCCAGAAACGCTCCCCTTCCACCCGTAACTTAAAATGCGGCTTCTTCTCATCCTTCTGATCTTCGAAAGTGTATCATGGTTTCTTTGGACACAGTTTTGGACGGTACGCTATAGCCAAGTGGAGGCAACATTGTACATGTCGAGCTTGACGCCCTTGGTAGCTCCCCCCGTCGACACCAGCAGGGCGTGAACCGCTTCGCTGCTGGGAAAAATCTGAGCTGTCAGGGTGGTCTCGCCCTGGCCGCCGAAAACTTCCACACTGGAGCGATCAACAAAGATGCTCAGGTTCACCTTGCCATTGACGCCAGGCGCGAGGGGTCCGCGGTAGACGCTGGCAAAAGTCTTGTCAAACGAGACATCTCCGGATCTGGTGCGATCGATGAAGACCTGCCTGTTGACGAAGTCGTAGCCGACCAGGGTCTGCTGGGTGGAGTCTGCGGAGGCCCGAATCGCGATGGCAAACTCCGACGCCGTCGAAGCAGCAGAGAAACTCAGGTCAATCTTGATCGTCTCTCCCGTGGTGCCCACATTGACGGAGCCTTCCGGGACAGAGTTGTACGTGTGCGAATAGGCCGCTTGCTTGCTCATGATAGAAGACCAGGCTTCCTGGGGCCGCTGAACCAGAGTCGCCTTGGCCCCGATGGTCTCGAGAGCCAGGTGCCGAGGAATAGACATGGCGCTGCGCCAGGGGCTGGTGGGAATGTTCACGCCATACTGCCAGTTGTTCATCCACCCGATATGGACGTGGGCGTCCATCGGCAGGCCATTGTAGCCCGCCGCGGCATAAAAGTCTGGGCCCCAGTCCATCCAGTTGGCGGTCGCGTTTCCAGGGTACACAGAATCGGCGTCGGGAGTGAAGGTGGTGCCGTCAAACTCACCCACGAAGTACTGGGTTCCGGAGCCGACGGTGCCGGGGGGACCGCCAGGGTTGAGTCCGAGCGTGATGACCCATTTCGTGGCCTTGCCGCCATCCAGGGGCAGCTTGAACAGACCAGGGCATTCCCAGACGCCGCCCTGTGCGTTGTAAGGACCGAATTCACTCGCCAGCGTCCAGTCCTTGAGGTTGTCGGACGTGTAAATCGCAAGCTTGTGTAGTGCGGCCAGAGTGGTGACGACGACCCACTTTTGGGACTCGGCGTGCCAGAACACGAACGGATCACGGAAGTTCTGGTACTGGTCCTGGTATGGGGCGGGAGGGTTGTAGATGACCGGATTGGCGGCATCGTACGTGGTCCAGGTCATCCCATCGTCAAGACTGTAGGCGATAGACTGGGCCTGCTGGTTCTCCTGAATAGTCTTCCCACTCGGCAGGGTCTGCGCAACAGGGTACTGAGAAAAGAACTGTGTCAGTCATTTTCAATCCAGGTATTTATTTGCTAGTGGGGTGGGCGTACGTAGGAAGTATACATGGCGACCATAGGGGGCTTGCCGTCCTTGCCGAAGCCACTGGTGTTGTTCACATCAACGACCGCACTTCCACTAAAGTACATCTCGGTGACGTTGCCGCCATATCCCCGGGCGAGGAGGGCGATGGGTTGCTGCTCCCAGTGGGTGAGGTCCTTGCTGGTGGCATGGCCCCAGGACATGTTCCCCCACTGGATACCGCCAGGGTTGTACTGGAAGAACAGATGGTAGACCCCATTGTGATACAAGAGACCATTGGGATCGTTCATCCAATGTTCCTGGGGCGAGAAGTGGTATTGGCCCCGGTAGGGCTGGTCATAGTTGAAGGCATTTGCGACGCTCGCTACGAGAGCCACCGCCAGGGTCTTGGTGAAATAAACCATTTTGAGATGGATGAGATTGAGGATTCACGGGGATGCCGGCACAACAGGGCCATATTTATATGTGGCCAGCTGCTTCGAGTCTTCAGGGACCGGACGTTCAGACTTCCCAGTCCCCACGGGGATTGACACATCTGGAGAAGGTCAATGCTTCAAGAAATTGGATGGCATAGTGCAAATGTTTACTATTCTGCCGGCAAATAGTCGCTATACCAGGCATCTGAGCCCACCGCTTGGGTTTCTTCGGAGAAACTCACGCCTTCGCCCCGCACAATCGTCCATCAGGGGAGTCGGGGACAGTGGGAGGACCCCCGCCTTCGCGGGCTTGTAAGTTGTGGTATCGCCGATGGCATACTGCATATCATGATTCATGAATCGCGCACCCCGTAGCTTTCCCGAGGTCCTTCCGAGGTCATGCCGAGTCGATCCCGGAGAAACCCCTCCGCATACAAAGGGCTCTACTTCAGAGGTGAACATCGAACTATAAATGTCGTATCAGTAATCAGAGACCTCGGCATTTGACATGAGAACACGCGCGGAGAACTTCTCTTCTCTAAGCTAGTTGTACACAGTTGTGGCCTAGTTCAACCCTTCACCTACAAAAAGCTTCCGATCTAGGATCGATATACAACCGGTTCGCTACCTCTAACTTAGAGTGGATAGGGCACAGAGGGAGGTATCGTCTGAAGCTGTTTTTGTTACTATTATCGTTATCTCTTAGCTCTAGAACGAACGACGTATATTGGCTGAACGCCAACGCAGTACCGTACATTCAGCTGTCCGACTGGTAAAAACAGCAGCTAGTTATGTATTAGCAGGATCAAGAGTATGAGGAAATAGTCATGACACCTAGCTAGGAGCTTGAAAGCAATAGATGTAAGATGACATAAGTACAGCATCAGGTGTGCATGGGGATGAGAAAATGCCTCACCGATCACTCAGGCATGGAGGGAGGTCAGGCAAAAGACTGCAGGGAAGTATACACGAGTTGAATCAGCAATGCAAGGACAAAAAGGTGGCTGTATAGACCGTACGGTTGCAGAATATGATCGCCAGGCTTTCGAGCATGTTGTGTCACCAGTCACCACTGCTGCTTCTAGCAACAAACTTGTCTCTACCCCATTCTCTAGGCGCAATCAAGGCGCTGATAACGTAGTAGCATACTGCATTGAGGTAATGGCATGTTGTGTTACACTGCTGATCCAATACTAGACCTGCTAGCATGGGGAATGGTCTTTATCTGGAATGCCTTTCATCCGTCATTCCATTGTTTTGGCTGAGGAGTATAAAGGACTGAATCCCCTCGAGGTAACCTGATCAGCACTCACCTTCGCTAGCATACTCTGGAGTAAGTCTCCATGTCTCCATGTTTCACTTTCAGGGAAATGCTAACAACGCACAGCAAATGAAGTTCATTTACCTTCTTGCCTCTCTCACTGCTATGGCTCTGGCTACACCCAGTCCTCAGTTTGACATTTGCCTTACTTTAGGGGACACCTGCGAGACATTCGGCAGTTCGCTCGGAAGCTGCTGCGAAGGACTGGAGTGTGTACCACACCCATCCATTCCAGATGACTCGGTGAGTATTATGTGATCAGTGTGTGAAGAACATGGCTGATTCTTGCATAGTACTGTCAGTTGAAGAAGTAGACTTGGGTCTATATTGGAATGGCAGAATTGTTAATGCGCTCAAAATAATCCTCTAGCTAGTCAAAATAATGGTGCAGCAACATGTATGTTAATCTCCTACTGTTGGTTCATAAGATCCCGCCGGAAATCGAGGGCTTCGGATATCAGTCGGAAAAGCACCATCTCCATCGGATATTGGTCACTATATAACCCCTCACAACCATCTAAAAGCCACCGTATTATGAGTCGTGGAAAAGTAAAATGGCTCTCCCTAATTCCTACCCCCTAAAAACAGGCCACAGCATCCCAGCCATCGGCCTGGGAACATGGCAGTCCAAGCCCAACGAGGTCAAAGAGGCCGTCTGCGCAGCTTTAAAAGCCGGATACCGCCACATTGACGCTGCTGCAGTCTACGGCAATGAGAAGGAGGTCGGAGAGGGAATTAGATTGTCTGGTGTTCCGCGCGAAGAGATCTTCGTACGCGCCTCAATCACAATTAGCTTTACTACGCTGACCGCATTGCATAGATCACCAGCAAATTATGGAACACACACCACGAACCCGAGCACGTGGAGGAGGCGCTCGATCAAACACTCCGCGATCTGCAGGTTGACTATCTAAATCTCTATTTGATCCATTGGCCCGTTGCATTTCGACACTCGACGACGACGATTCAGCCTGTGGATGCAGAAACCGGGCTGGTCGATGTCATTGACGTTCCGATCAAGGATACCTGGGCTGCGATGGAGAAGCTCGTGGAGAAGGGCAAAGTGCGCTCCATTGGAGTAAGCAATTTTACTCGGCAGAGGATTGAGGAGCTCATGACTACGTATGTTTTCCGTCTTCTTTTGTCGAGATGAAGGCTGATTGCCTTGCAGGGCTCGCATCCACCCCGCCGTTAACCAGATCGAGGCACACCCGTATCTTCAACAGAGGGAGTTGCTCGAGTGGTCCAAGCAACAGGTATGTCTGCATCTTGCAAGCATGAAGTATACCATTACTGACGGAGTAGGGAATCGTGATAACCGCCTACTCGCCCTTAGGGAATAATATTTACAATATTCCTCGGTGAGTATCCTATACTTATATATAGTCACTGCTAACCATCCAGGGCTGTCGATGACCCAACCGTCATCCAAATCGCCAAAGAGCTAGGCAAAACACCCGCGCAAGTGTTGATCAGCTGGGCCATTCAGCGCGGGACATCCGTCGTGCCCAAGTCGGTTACTCCAGAGCGGATCAGAAGTAACCTCGAGGGTAAGTGTCAACTGACCTAGGATGAAAGTGCACTGCTGACAAGATAGTGTTCGTCTTACCCGAACATGCCTTTGAGAGAATCCAGGCCTTGGACCGCCACCAGCGGATGAATTTCCCGGCTAGACTAGGAGTCGATATCTTTGGGGAGGTGGGCGAGGAATCGGCCAGACAGAGTGCGTTGGAGTGGGCTAGACAGCAGAAGACGCAGGCAAAGTGACCGTAATAGAATACCTCAATAGATGTGTATATCCACTAAGGCAGATACATTCAGTTGATGTTTCACAGGTCTTGCCATTAAACATACATCCACAGTAACTGACTCTGCGATTATTGGACAGCCCATACACCTTTAGCTTACTCGGATATATTGGCAGGATTGCTCCACTCAAATATCATAACAATAGGTAGTAATAAATTCTCTGAATAGCTTCTGTTCCTCAGAGATGCGAGGTTGCTGTATATCTTTTCCGACGGATATGGCTGCACACGGATATCCAACTTCGGATAAGCAATGAAGCACTTTGATATCAACGTGTACATGCTTGACAGCGCTCGTATGACTCCTTGGCATCCCCGCATTGCATCCTTCCTCTCTTGGCCCGGATATGCATGTTATGGGCCATGTGCCTCCCCTGGATACCCCGTGGGGATATGCATACCCCAGATCAGCGGGGAGCCAAGACCTGCTTGAAGGAGATATAAAAGCAATCAGTGGATGCCGTGCTCACTTCTTTATGGAGCATATCGCCAGATATTGCCAGCAATTACAGACTACCCACCATGAGCACCAAAAACGAAGGGCAGGTCGAGCACATCGACCACTGCGATGTGGTGCTGAAGCCGACTCCTCAGTATGACAAGTTTGGCTCCGCCGCCAAAACAGACCCCAGAGAGATTGCTCTCGTGAAAAAGATTGACCTGTACATGATGGTTGGTCTACGCATACAGTATACTGCCTGAGCTTGCTGACAGAGGTAGCCTATTCTCTGGCTGATGTACTTTCTCAATTTCCTCGACCGAAACGCCATGGTCAATGGGAAGCTCAACAGCCTGTCCAAAGACCTGCATTTGCACGGAACGCAGTACAATACCTGCGTCAGCATTCTCTTCGTCGGGTGGGCATATCTCTCTCAAGAAAGAGACGAATGTTGACGAGTCCAGTTACCTCCTAGGCCAGGTCCCGTCCAACATGCTCCTCAACCGCGTCCGGCCGTCCTGGTACATGGCCGGGTTCATGATGGGGTGGGCTATTATCTCTACACTCACCTGCCTTGTCAAAGACTACCACAGCATGCTCGTTTGCCGGCTCCTGCTTGGGATCGTCGAGGCCCCCTTCTACCCGGGGGCGCTCTTCATGATCAGTCTGTTCTATAACCGCAAAGAAGCCACCACGCGCATGGCCGTCCTTTACACAGGCAACATGCTGGCAAGCTCATTCTCCGGACTCATCGCCGCGGGCGTCTTTGCCGGACTAGACGGCGTCCACGGCCTGTCCGGCTGGAGATGGCTGTTTCTCATCCAAGGCGTCGCCACGTTCGCCGTGGCCATTGCCGCGTTCTTCCTGCTTCCCAACTCGCCGCTGCAGACCCGGTGGCTGAGCCCAGAGGAGCGCCAGATGGCATACGACCGGATCGCCCGCGACACCACGCAGAAAGAGAGCCGCACGAGCACATGGAAGGGTCTCCGCGAAGCATGCGCCGACTACCGCACCTGGATCTTTGCCCTGCAGTGCAATCTCCATCTCTCCGCCAACGGCTTCAAGAACTTTATGCCAACGGTCGTCCAAACCCTCGGGTTCAACTCCACCATCACCCTCGTCCTCACCTGCCCGCCGTACCTGGTGGCCACGTTCGCCTCCGTAATCGTCTCCTGGTCCTCGGGCCACTTCAACGAACGCACCTGGCACATCACCCTCTCCAAGCTGCTAGCCATTATTGGGTTTGCCGTAGCCTGCAGCACCCTCAACATCGGAGCCCGCTACTTCGCCATGATCTTGTTCGTGGGGGCCACATACGGCGTCAACAATATCAACCTTGCCTGGACCGCAGCGACGCTGGGCCAAACAGACGAGAAGAAGGCCGTGGCAATCGCCATCACGAACACCATGGGGAATCTGGCGAGCGTGTACACGCCGTACCTGTGGCCGGATTCGGATGCGCCGCGCTTCTCCAAGGCCATGTACTGCAGCATTGGGTTCTCGGCGGGAGTCATAGCGACTGCTTGGTTGCTGCGGTGGATTCTCATGCGGGCGAACAGGCGCATTCGCGCTATGGACTCGGAGGCGATCAATTTTTATGCTTATTAGGGCGTAGCACATGGAGGATAGTAGTTGCTTTCATTCTTATATAACCTGATAATTAGAGTTAGGGAAGCCATCAAGCTCTTTATCTTGAGAGACCAAGAATGATCTCACTCAGAGCATACTCTGCATAGGCTTAAACAACTTCTCTCTCGTGACTTGCTACAATCTCAGTTGTGTCACCAGTTATGTAAATCAGAACAGAGATGTGAACAGGCCCTGAGCTGACGCACGCGCCTTTTAGAATGTCTTCCCGGTGAAGACAGATCAGGAGCACAGGGTTTCCATATTTGTCGTCTATAAGCTAGGTACCGTCACCGAAGTTGTTACCCTTTCTTTCGCATGCTGTGACGTCCAGTATGATCAAATTAACATTGGAAGAGTACTTTCGGTGACACAAGCTGCATAGATGCCCAGAGTCGTCTTCATCTTCATGACCAAAATCAAGAATGCCAGGTCCCGGCTTCGGCCACGAGCGAAGATCTCGAATTTGTTCCCGACGGAACCCACTGCGACCCAGTGTATGCCTTATATATGAGTTATATCACACATTCAAACCATGGCCTGTATATAACAATGTCCAGATGGTGGGCGCTTGCAGCTACTGCACATAGCTCCTGTCAATAGTCCGCTACCAAGATCAGCACTTTTTAGATCAGAAGATTCCTTAAATAGGGTGTGGGGAAAGCGCCTACGCGCGGAATTCTGGTCAGCTAGTCGAGGCTGCAACTGTTGATAGGTAGGTAGTATCCCAACTCAGTGGATAAAAGTGGGTAAGGTACCTACTAAGTGCCTAACTATATATAATATGACGATACATAGCTAGTTAGCGCTTAGCGGATTATCAAATACTACCTACGGTGAACCCGGCCGTCGTTAAGGTAGCCCGTCATATAAATTGAGAAGATAGTATAGTATGTAACAAAAGCAACAAGCATGCATACTGTGGAGGAGAGATTGACTTCGTCATAGAAACTAAGTGCTATCTCGTCTCTTGTACAAACTCCGGTAGGGTTACCAATATGTAAATCCCATACCAACCAGAAGTTATCGATATGCGTCATGCCAGAAGATGTCAAGAAGACTTCAGCACGCTATCGACTCAATGGCCCTTCTCCTTCGCACTTGCTTCCAAAGCATCGAAAACCTTATTCACGGTCGAGTCATCCACGGGGTCCTCAATGTCCACCCAAGCTTCGGCAAGGTTCTGGTGGCTATCTTTGTTGGCCAAGTCTCTGACCGTGCGGTTGTCGGCATTCTTATTAGGTTGGACGTATATCTTAACGCGCTTGTCGACTTGCACTCCCCTGTCAATGCGTACCCCAATCAAGCTGTCATGCTTCTGGGCCGGTATGATTCGGCGTCCAGCGGCCGAGTTATCCCCAACAGCGGGTCGTAGAAGCTTTTGCTTCGTAGACGATACTTCAAGAGTTCTCTTGCGAAGGGCGCGCAGGGCATCCACAATAGCACCCATCTTTGTCGACTTGAAGGCAATTGTCTGCTTTGATCAGCATCGTCTTGTCGGGAAAGATATAAGATATGTAACTAACCAGTTCGAGAGTTGTCAAATCCAGGATGTTCAGAGTTGTAGGCTTGTAGCTCGTGGTCATGATTTGACAAGGCAGCCTTGTCTGTTTAAGTAGGGATATATTTTGCTTCGCGCTGGATTCGATGAGCGGTATTCTAAAAGAAGCAATACCACAGGAGTATCAGAGAATGCATGGTTTCTTGCGTTCTGATCCAACCATCCAGGAGCTGTGTTGCACTTGCCGCGTTATCCCTGCAGCTGTATGAACCAAGCCAATCATACTGTGAGTCTCGCTCAATCCACGGCGCCTATACGAGGAGATAGGGCATCCCATAGTGCAGAATTCCAATACACCTGAGGGTTTCCCAGTGCACCAGAGGAGGGCCTCACAATCATATCCAAAAGGCTGCCAACTATTCGAGGGAAGCTGCGAGTTGATTCACTAATGCCCGGTAGCGCAGGTGGGTGAAGACGATCGCACCCTAATTGGCCAGAATCCGATTACTAATACGACTATAGCCGCCGAAGTATACAAGTACCTCCACATTATCATGTGATCAGACCTAATTATATCTAGGTACCTAAGCCTCCAACTCTTTACCACTCTCTTCGCACTTTCGAAAACATCGCAATGCAAGGGCGACGCAAAGCTTATAAGCTTCTCAGCGGACGTTTTAGCTCAGCTATGGCTTTTATCCAAGCTCAGGCTGGCTCTACAAATCTCGCACAGACAGAAGCAAACAACCCCTTCTTTTGCTACACGTCCGGCCGTTGGTTATACAATGAGCAGCTCCAATTGGGAAGACGGTTCGTCAAATTCAACGTTCCAGCTCTTCAGCAAGCTGCTGGTCAAGTACTTGGTACTCGATGCGTCCAGATGACCAAGCTACCGGAGGGGATGTACAACAAGGTGTTTTCTCTGAAAATGGAGAACGGCGAGGAAGCGTTGGCAAGGATCCCAAATCCGAATGCTGGCCATCCTCAATATTGCGTGGCTAGTGAAGTCGCCACGCTTGATTTTGTATGTGAGATCAGTTCTTATAATAGTCCTTCAATTGCTAATTCTGGTACCAATGGCATTTGTAGCTTCGCAACGTCCTTGATATCCCCGTTCCTAGAGTCCTGGCCTGGAGCTCTCCGGAATTGCAACCCAACCCGGTGGGTAGCGAATACATTCTCATGGAGCGGGTGAGAGGACGCCAGTTGAGCCGGGTTTGGGATGCCATGTCTGAAGCTCAGCGCTTCGGTCTGGTTAAAAGCCTAGTAGAGATTGAGAGGAAGTTGGCGAGCGCACAGTTTACGAACCATGGCAGCCTATACTACAAGAATACATATCCGTATGGCAGGAGCGCCATTGGTCCTAGCTCGAATGATGAGCCTATTGGGAAGTTCGTCATCGGCCCAACAACTGAGCGGTCTTTTTGGGAAGATGAGAAGCGTGGACTAGATATTGACCGGGGCCCTTGTAGGTTCATCTGATATTGTTATCAGTTTCATATTCTCTTGTATAACGGACTAATGGCTTTGTTCAGGGGAGACTGCACAACAATACCTTTCAGCTGTTGCGAACCGTGAGATTGCCTTGATCCGAAGTCTAGGCTCGAGTAATTATAGAGACATCGCATCTCTTTCGGCTAGGACACCATCAGCCCGTGACAAACATGTTCGGCTTATTGAACAGTTTCTAACTCTGCTCCCACACATATTACCACCGGGACAGCTTTGTAGTCCTGTACTGCTGCACCATGACCTTCATTCAGACAATATATTTGTTGACGACGCGGATCCCACAAAAATATCAAGCATAATCGATTGGCAGGCAGTGTATTCCGCTCCACTATTCATGCAGGCAAGGTTTCCTTCGGTATTTGATTGCGATGACCAGTATCCATGGGGCGCTGTTCAACCTGAATTGCCAAAAGATTTCGATACCCTCTCAGAAACGGGAAAAGAGTTGGCTAGAGACAAACTTGCCAGGATTAGATTGAAGAAATTCTACGAATTGGCTTCAAGGAAATTCAACCCGCTTCTCGTCAAGGCCATGGATGTCATGAGAAATGATGATGACCCTACAACCTTCATTTTCCATATTGTCGGACGGTCTTCCCTCGATGGACCGATCCCGCTCAAAGAACTTCTTATCCAGACGTATGAGAAATGGGACCAAATAGCGAAGCGGAGAGGTTTGGAGATACCATGCCCGATTTCATTTTCGCAAGAAGAAATTGAAGAAAGCCGTCAGCAGGCGACTGCATGGGCGGACGCGTATACAGAGCTTGACACTCTGCGAACGCAAGTCATGGGTAAAGATGGCTGGGTCTCTCACGAGGAATTTGAAGACGCCATGCGCAGATGGGAAGACAACAGAGCAACTTTTGAAATGCTTCGAGAGCGACTAGAAAAGTTGCTTTCATAAATTCACTTCAACTGTACGGTTAAGCCGTGCACTGCAACTGCAGCGATGGAGCTTATCACCCAGCATACATAGCTTGGAACATGGCCTGGGAAACTTTTTGAGACGACCGGATGCACCGAACATCGTCTCTATCTATCCGATAAATTCTCGCTGGTGAAGAGGGTCCTCAGAAGGCTAGCGAGCCACACCAAGCTGCTCAACAGAGTGACGGTATCGAAGCGATCGTCGAACCTTGTCCATATGCCGGTCTCTCGCCCAGCGTACCCGCATCATCACCATGGTCTCAACAAGAATCTGTCGGCATGGGTAGCACAACTCATATCGTGGGATTCCATTCATAGCCAGAACAACTATCGACGAAGGACCAACGACGACAATCTGTTTGGCTCAATAAAGACGACCCTGCCCATAGTATCACACCGTCGAGCCCCGCAAACGAGGAACGGAAAGATGAAGGGACAAGAAGGACGGCCTTCAGAACGGGTTCGAACGGCCTCTACAACGCATTGCATGAGAATTCCTCCGCCACCATTCGTTCTCATATCCTGTCTTCACCGCTTGATGAACGTATACAGTTTCTTCCTTGAAGCTGCACTACTACGCTGCCTGCCTGACTCGGAAAATTCCGCCAAAAGTACTACGGGTGGAGTTTGCAATGCGAGTGACGAGCAAGAATGGGAAGTGGATAATATATTGGCTTCGTGGATATCCCGACAAAAGCTGCATTTCTCCACACTAAGACTATTTCATGGGCTTCGCGGTGCGCCTAAAAATACTAGCACCAGGGTTTGCTCATTGCTCTGTCCCAATATCAAAAACGAACATAGTGTGCTACGGGGATAGAAGAGGTCTGCGTGTAGGTCACCATCTTTAGACGGGATATGCATTACGAAACATCATATACCATATGGTATTGTCCCTCAGGGCGTAAAATAATGGGCTAAGTACACATGTAAATTATTAGAACATGTAAATTATTAGATGACAAATATTACTCATCGTATTCCATCAGGCTGCATCCCTTTTATGATTGTACCTGACCAAACACAGCACTGATCTCAGCCAATCACCTATCCCTAGGTACCAGTTGCATCTCCGTCTCCTATATTAACCCTCCTTACCGAGTCAAAGACATCTGTCTGCCCCACCTGCTGCATTGGTTTTCTAGATATCCTCATATGGCCGCTACAATATTTCTGGGCCAGGTTTTGAAAGGCCGAAGAGGGCTTTATACTGTCACAAAACAACTGCAGGACTGTGTCTGGCTTGCTATGTGCGCCCTTTATCTCCACCTGCTGTTAGAGTAATACTAATCTCATAACAATTACAGAAACGAACATCAGGAGAAAGTTGTGGCGAAGAGCGTTAGACACTTTCGATTACAGAACGAACGAGATATTTTACTTCGTTTTCAGAACCGGACTCCCTGTATTCGCCCACTGGTCGAAGAAATCGAAGATTCAACTACTCCTCCTACGCTCATACTCAGATACCTGGACGATGATGCTCTTCGCGCCTCGAGCAAGCAGCGACTTACTCGTCCAGAGGTAAAGTATGTTGCAAAAAAGGTGTTAGAAGCACTTTCAGTTCTGCATGATGATGGTTTTGTACACACTGGTATGCTCAACCTATCCCAAGTTTTCTGCAATACAGCCGTTATTAATAGGGACGGATGTAGATATCAAGCCCAGTAACGTGCTAGTGAACTATGGTCACAGCAATGTCCGTTTCACAGATGTCCAATTAGCAGATTTTGGAAGCACAGTGCACATGGGCTCTCTTCACGCACAACACGGTGACCCCATCGGCACACCTATCTTCAGAAGCCCGGAAGCACACCTTCAAATGCAATGGGGTACTGCAACAGACATTTGGTCTTTTGGTGCAATGGCAAGTTAATCCTCAGTCGCAGAGCCTAGACCGGATATTAACGCCTATCTACGATATAGCTGATCAGCCTTCTCTACGGGGATGGATTCCACATCTTCAAGCCGGATGTTCCTGCAGACCATGATGAGTACGATGTCAAGATTCTCATGAAGCATCATAGATGCTTCGGGCCATTCCCAGAATCGTACGAAGAGATTGCGGACCAGCAACGACTGGCAGTCCTCGTTTGGGTCATGCAGAACAGCCCTCGTGAGACACTGCGACCATTTCATCTCACCACTAGTCAAGAGATTTGCAAGGAAGATAAGGAATTTGTACTAAGAGCAATGAAGCTTGATCCTCGCGATAGGCCGTCAGCACGGCAGCTCTTGGACGATGGGTGGCTTCATCAGTTTTAACCACTTGCAGTGCGAGGTCAACCCTAGTTCAGACATCTTAGCCATAAGACTGTGCATTAATATGATGACTAGAATAGAAAAGCAATATCAGTAACCGTAGGTGCTCAAATTATCCAGCACAACACGCTCAATAGATGTGATTCAGTTCAGCATACTCAGCAGGGCTGCAGGACTCGAGGGATACTGCCTCAGGCATCAATAATTGCTGGCCTGAACGGGTCAATTCTTCCGTTGTCCTCAATTTGAGCAGCAAAGTAACCACAAACCCATCCACAGAATGCAGTCCAACGGATTCCATCATAACCGGCACTGTTTAACCTGGAACCAGTGTCTGTGTCTTCTGGGCGATCTACCTCTCAAATTATTGACGGCCTCGAGTCTGGAACGCAGCGCCCAGATTTGTCTCATCGTTCGGACCAGATGCCATATCCGGCGTTTGTGATCAGCGCCTTTCCATTAATCTGAGGTGAAAAAGGGCACTCTGGAACAGGGCACGGCATCTTAATCGCCACCAGTTGTCACTATCATGCTGCACTACTGCATCTTTCGCACCTGAATTTCTTTTGCGCGGGCAAGACTGTAATTTTTCATTTGTCGCCAACTGGCGATCCCTTGCCATCTTCGACCTGTCACACCAGTGCCGCGAAGACGGACCGGTCACCGCTACGGACACGTTCCGAAGAGGCCCTGGCTCCTGACGAGGCTAGCTCGACTGACTGACTGACCTGCAAGAATGAAGTTATTGCCGTCCATGACTGCAGACGTCCTGCCGATCAGGAGGAGTCGCTTAGAAGCGATATATTGGGTGTATCCCCTGTGGGCCTTGATTCCATGGATATCAAACGATCTTCGTCACATCTGACGAATGGGCATACTTAATAGTACCTAGGGATGAGGCATCACATACCAGGACAGTGACTTACAAGGTCATCATGTTGTCTTGGGTGAAATTGTGCCGGTGGGATTATCAATGGTTCGCGGAGGATTCGTCAGATATACAGATGGATTGTTCTTAATTTTGAGGCCAAGGATGATCTTGAGCCTCGAGTCTTGACTCTCTCGCAACCCATCGACTCACCAGGGTCTCAGCCATATCCGCCATCTGCAACAGCCCACGTTTCAAATTTGTATCATCGAACCGCCCATTCATGGCTAATGGTACCTATCTACCGAGTGATGATGCCGTATGGAGATGATACCTAGGCCAGCACATTGCCGTCCCGTCCGGCTTTGTCGCGGACCTTTGTTCTTGGTGTTTCCATCAATGGCGGCTCCACTAGAGCAGCACGGTGAGACCGTCAATCTGCCTCTAAACGGGCATGGACCCTACATCCGAAGCCCTGAGTCCCTGACCAGCCTGTTTCTTGTCCTGACTCGGACGGATGGATTGCCTTTTTCATCCGTTGTGTTGATCAATTCCTTTATTGATCTGTGCTGGAAGTTGCCATCTATAAAAAGAGGCATTGTCTTCCTCGATTTCTTCGACTCCAAGCTCGCTTCGTCTAACGCAAGCTTGACACTCATTTGAAGACAATCTCTACTTTCATTTTTATCTTCGCAGTCCACCACTTCATACATCGAAATGAAGCTCTCCATCGCAGCAACATTGGGCTTTTTGGGCTGTGCCCTCGCCTTGCCCGCACCTGTTGCCAGGGAAGCCGACCTGCCCTTCCCTTTCCCATCTGGTGGCTTTGGTGGCTCTGGTAGCCTCCCATTCTCTATTCCTTCGGGCATCCCTACCGGTTTTCCATTCCCTATTCCTTCGGGTCTACCTTCCGGCTTTCCAACTGGCTTTCCATTCCCTATTCCGTCCGGCTTGCCCACTGGATCCGGTTCCTCCGGCTTCCCCGGACTGGGTGGTAGCGGAGACTTCGAAAAGCGCGAGGAAGCTCATCACCGTCACCACAAGCCATCCGGTAGCTGGCCATGGCCGTGGCCACAGCCGACCAGTGGCTTTCCCGGATGGCCAAAGCCGACTGGCCCTCCGTCCTTCCCTCCTGGGCCGTCAGGCACCCCTACTGGCGGGTTCCCGGGCTTCCCAAGCATCACACCCACACCCAGCTCGACTCCTACTCCCAGCGCAACTCCTTCCGGCTTCCCTTTTAGGGGCTGAGCTTCAGCAACTCCGGTCGACAGTGGAAAGTTGAGGCAATTGACGATAATGGGCGGGGCAAGGAAAACTGTGACGCTGTTGGTACACTGCTGGATAGGGTACCTGAGGAATTATGTATATGCTGTCTTTTCTGTTCTAGAATGTTTGTGTATCTAGAAAGCAATCAAGTTTTGCAATCACATACAATCCTTCAACTGAGAAGGCATTTAGGCAGTCAGCTGCTGATTGACCGTCATTTCTATACCACATCCAGCGTCACATTCTCTACTAACATCGTGAATTAATTCTCTGGTGAATATGCTATAAGATTCCGTCTGCTCTGCTAACCTCCAGCTCTTCCTATCTTTGATTCCATCCAGCTTTTCAGTATGCTGCGCTGTGCCTGCGACCTGTGGATAGATGTCAATGGCTCCTTCATATGCTGTTTAGATTTACCGTAAGAATATGTCTAAGGCAATTATGTCAAGCCTCAGCCTAATCAAGGGAGTTATATGATGCAGAATCTGCTGCTTGCCCGCTACCACAATCGACCGTTACAGGCTATGCCCGTCAACAATGCCACTGTATACAACATGACTCGAGATCAATAGCAAACCATCACAACATGATCAATTGAAATAATACAAATGCACAGAAAGCAGACTCGAGAGGAATTCCGGCTAAATACATCTACTCCATGCTACTGCAAATTATCCCCCAATCAACTTAATCAATCATACCCCTCACTTCTACTCCAACTAGTATGTCGATCAATGTCTATAGTATTTATACGTCCTCTTCCTCTATTCCGATAGAAAATGCATAAGTAACCATGTACCTCGCTTTAGCTTCAGCTCTCCTTCTCCTTCCCGGGGTGACGTCCAGATCCCTCTGGTCCGATTCCCCCGGTAGCTATGCGGATCTCATAACTACTGCGTTTTCATTAGGGAATGGTCGGGTGGGAGGTATGTACGCCTATTCCTCTTCACCTCAATTGAGGCCCAGTTCTAACGCCGATAGCAATGCCTCTCGGACTACCCGGGAAGGAAATCATCAATTTGAACATCGATTCCTTGTGGCAGGGTGGTCCGTTCGAGAGTCCAGTAGATATCAATCCTCTACTACAAACAAATCAATGCTAACACTGGAAAGGACTATGCTGGAGGTAATCCCAACATCTCCAAGGCAGACGCCCTCCCAGGTATCAGAGAGTGGATCTTCCAGAACGGCACGGGGAATGTCTCTGCGCTGCTGGGCGAGTTTCCGCATTACGGGTCGTTCCAGGTTCTGGCGAATCTGACGGTTGAGCTGGGGGATGGGGATTTGGGCTCTGTGGCTGATTACAGGCGGAGTCTGAATTTGCGGACGGGAGTGTATGCGGATCGGTTCTGTGTGGGGGAGAGGTGTGTTGAGAGGTAGGGTGGCCAGCATGGGTTGAGAAGGCAGAAATGATGATGTTGATGTTGACGACAGGGAGGCATTCTGCTCGTATCCTGACGGCGTATGCGTTTACCGGCTTGCGTCGAATACAAGTCTCCCGGCTGTGGCGATCAATCTGGAGAATCTGCTGGCGGCGCCGGAGCCGAATGTCACCTGCTCGGGGAATAGTATCAGTCTGTATGGGCGGACGTTTCCGGGCATTGGGATGCGGTATAATGCTAGGGCGACGGTAGTAGTTCCCGGGCTGAAAAGTGATCTATGTGCGCAATCTGCAGTCCGTGTGCCAGGAGGTCAGAGGGAGATTGTCATTGTGGTTGCGGCTGGAACGGATTACGATGCTTCCAAGGGCAATGCGGCAGCCAATTTCTCTTTCAGAGGAAAGGACCCCTATGATGACGTGCTAAAGACATCGTCCAATGCAGCCGGGAAGCCTTATTCGCGGCTAAAGTCGGCGCATATCAAGGACTTTCAGAGCATCTTTGATGGATTCACCCTCACTCTCCCAGACCCGTACAACTCCGCCAGCAAGCCAACAACCGATCTCATCGCGGCCTACACCCAGCCGGGCGACCCGTATGTCGAAAACCTGCTCTTCGACTATGGTCGGTATCTGTTCCTCTCGTCCTCGCGACCAGGGAGCCTTCCGCCGAACCTACAAGGGCTCTGGACGGAACAGTACTCTCCGGCATGGAGCGCCGATTACCATGCCAACATCAACCTGCAGATGAACCACTGGGGTGTCGAGCAGACTGGACTCGGCGGGCAGACAGAGCCGCTCTGGACTTATATGCTTGAGACCTGGCTGCCGCGCGGTGCAGAGACAGCGAGGTTGTTGTATAACGCCGACGGGTGGGTGACGCACGACGAGATGAATATTTTCGGGCATACCGCGTAGGTCCTGCATCCCTGGTCATCGTACTTACTGACATGCATTAGGATGAAAGACTCGGCACAATGGGCCAACTACCCGGCCGTCAACGCGTGGATGTCCCAGCATGTCTGGGATCATTTCGACTATACCCGGGATATCAAATGGTACCAAACAGTCGGCTACCCAATCCTCAAGGGGGCAGCCCAGTTCTGGCTCTCGCAGCTCGTCCAGGACGAGCACTTTAACGACGGAACCTGGGTCGTCAATCCGTGCAACTCGCCAGAACATGGTCCAACGGTATGCCCTCCCCTCCCCTTCCATCAAACCCCCAAAGCAAGCTAAGTAGACAGACCTTCGGCTGCACCCACTTCCAACAACTCATCTGGGAACTCTTCGACCACGTCCTCCGCGGCTGGACAGCCTCAGGCGACACCGACGCCACTTTTCACTCCGCCATCGCCTCCAAATTTTCGTCGCTTGACACCGGCATCCACATCGGGTCCTGGGGCCAGATCCAAGAGTGGAAACTCGACCTCGACACCCCAAACGACACCCACCGACACCTGTCCAACCTCTACGGCTGGTACCCGGGCTACGCCATCTCGTCCGTCCACGGACACAACACGACAATCACCAACGCGGTAGCTACAACGCTCACCTCCCGCGGCTCCGGCATCGAAGACTCGAATACCGGCTGGGGAAAGCTCTGGCGCAGCGCCTGCTGGGCTCTTCTCAACGAGCCAGCCAACGCATACAGCGAGCTCACCCTCGCTATCCAGAATAATTTCGCGGCGAATGGGTTGGACATGTACTCCGGTAACCCGCCGTTTCAGATCGATGCCAATTTTGGGGTTTTGGGGGCGGTGATGGCGATGCTTGTAAGGGATTTGGATGGAGTGGGGGATGATGGGCGGGTGCAGGCTGTGTTGCTGGGTCCGGCGATTCCGGCGGCGTGGGGTGGCGGGAGTGTAACTGGGGTAAGGTTGAGAGGGGGTGGGATGGTGGATTTTAAATGGGATGAGGATGGGGTTGTGAGGTCTTGTCGCGCTGATCTGTCTGGGAGGGGAGGCCAGAAAGTAGAGTTCTATGTTAAGGGGGGTGATGCCATTCGTTGTTGACGGCCGTCAATTCAGTTCAATTCTTATGCAAATTCACAAGCTTGAATGACATTATTCCCGTTTAGATCCGATAAAATTCAGCAGGACGAGGTAAGGTGATTCGACTTATGCGGAGTGCCACGAATACAGACATACAGTCATCACCACTACCAAAGATTCTAGTCTATTCCCTTACTCATAGGATCCTTCAATTAACACAACCGCCAATCATGCACTATCTATACCTCTGGTGCAATCCACCGGATAAATGGCTAAATGCTAAATCCATCCCCTCATCTCGTCCCGAACATACTCCGATTACCCCTCTCAAGACAACGAACAACCACGTAGCCTCACTTCTACACACCACACACCCTCTATAACCAAGTATACAAAGATCGCCATGGACTCCGTCAAAAACAAAGTCTACGCCGTAACAGGCGTCGCTGGGATCGGCCTAGCCATCGCGCAGCAACTGCACGCCCGCGGCGCGCGCCTCTCCCTCGCAGATATCAATCCCAATGCTCTGGCCAGCGCATTCGCGACACTCGGCTCCGACAGCGAGACGGTCCTCACGACGGTCGTGGACGTGGGGTCCGCCGCTTCTGTGGATGCGTGGATCGACGCCACGGTGCAGAAGTTCGGGCAGCTGGACGGCGCGGCGAACATGGCAGGGACGATTGGGCGGAAGCATGGGGTTGGGAAGCTTGTGGAGCAGGATGATGAGGAGTGGGATTTTCTGCTCAGGGTGAATCTCACGGGGATGATGTACTGTCTGCGGGCGGAGGTAAGGAGTATTGCGGCGACCGCCGGCGAGGGCAGTATCGTCAATGCGGCGAGTATCCAGGGGCTGCGAGGGTTTGCAATGCATGCGGCGTATTCGACGACCAAGCATGGGATTGTGGGGTTGACGAAGAGTGTGGCGAAGGAGGTTGGCCCCGCTATCAGGGTCAATGCGGTTGCTCCGTAAGTTGACTGTCTAATTGTCTTCTGGGATGTTGCTAATTGTCTGCAGTGGGGTTATCCAGACGCCGTTGCTTGACAAGGCTCGTGATATTCAGGGCACGCTGAATGCTATGCCCACGATCATCCCGCGCATTGGGACGGCAGATGAAGTCGCGCAGTCCGTGCTGTTTCTGCTGAGTGATGCCTCGTCCTATACGACCGGCTTGGTTCTGAATGTCGACGGTGGTTGGGATCCTTGAGCTGATGATGTGATCTATGAGATGTAAGGTGTGAGGTGTGAGCAATGTATGTCATCATTAAGTAGCGACAAGGGTATCTATAATCTTGGAGCATTGTACAGTTGGACCATTCGTCTATATGCAGGAAGCCAGTATGGGTAGATCGTCACATCAGAACATACGCCACTGTATCTGTCAGCTCAGAGTCTGCGTGATTGACAGAACACGTACCAATCAAAGCGGATATACTGAGAATATAGTTTGGACGACTGGTCATTCCGCTATTCTCTACGGCTCTGCAAGGGTAAGTTTGGGTCTTCTCCTGAAGGGTAATGCACATACTTTGCCACTGGCCATCCATTCTCGAACTCGAGGTAACTCCAGCCCAAGTGTGCGTCCTTTAGCATGTCAGTACTTTCATTACTTAGTCCTGATCTCAACTCACGTCATCTTGGAAGCCCGTCGATGTATTCACTGTCAAGTCAGCGCAGACACACAAAGTGAAGGAATTGACTCACGGTAGTGATAATACAGAATGTCAGGGTGCTTCTCATTCGCAGGCAACACACCAATTCCCCCAGGGGCATAAACAACACCATGGTTCGAGGCGTACACAACAGTCCCACCGCCATCAGTGAGTTTCTTGCCATCTTTATCTTGGAAAGGCCCATTCACACTGGTCGACCTCCCCACACGAATCTCATACCTATTCAAATCAGCCAGCCTGACACAAAAATCGCAGGGGAGCAACCAACTCTTTTCCCTTCGCCGGGAAATCCTTGGCATTCTGACCGTCCCCAAAGTGGCAGCACTTCCCATGACTGGCCCAGAGATAATAATACGGCTCCCGAAAACTCATCCAGGACCCCTCTATCGGCTTGAACTTATCCGCCGGCTCATACTCAAGATTGATCGCGCGCGGGTGCTCCGCATCCTCAACCGAGAGCAGATCCCCAGCCAGGGGGACCTGGAAAATCCCGTGCCAGTAACTGCCGTAGTTCAAGTATGGCTTCCCCGTCGCATTGTCCACGATAAACGACGCATCGATTGCGTTCGACTCGTTGTAGGGGTAGATGTGCGACAATTTCCCGGACTCTGTATTGATCACCGCTCCGTGATCGGTCCATTTCCCGCTGTCGAGGGAATCGGTCGTCGCGACTCCGATGGAGCTGTTGCGGCTGCCGTGGGTGCTGATCGTGTAGTAGCAGTAAAATGAGCCGTTGTGCTGGACCGTCGTCGGCGCCCAGGGTCGAGTCCGGTTCTGTTTCTCGATGATGCTGGGTCCATCTAGGACTGTTCCGACCCTTGTCCAGGGCCCGTCGAGACTCGAGGCCTTGCTGATGGGGATGTGGACGCCTCCCATGAAGAGGTAGAAAGTGTCGTTGTATTCGACGATGTTGGGGTCGTGGGTAACGATATTGCCCTGGTTGGGGAGGGGGTACTTATCCGAATTGGAGAAAAGAGATGATTTTTCTTTGGACGTTAAGGATGGCGATCCGACAGCTGCTTGGTGGAAGAGTAGGGAGGCCTGTAGCAGGAGCTGTATTCGAAACATTGCGTCGTCGCTTTCTCGCTTTTGTCGCGATAAGATGTGACAATTGAAGGAAATTGACCACAAAGTCTCTTGAAAAATATAAGCACTCAAGGAACAATGCTCATCATGATCAAGTCAACGGGATGATTCCATGTCACTGACGCCAAGACGGTGATGAGATGGAAGCGTCAACGCTCTGGGTGCAACAGAGCATGAAATGATGCCTGGAGAGTTTGTGATGATAGTATCTTGACTAGCCGCCAGCTGAGCCTAGAAGAATAATAGTTAACACATCATTAAGGTAAGACAGCAGTGTCCCGCACTAGTCAAGAGTAAATAGTTTAGTGCACATTTCAGATTAAAGAAGCTTCCATGTTAGATACAGTATTACTGGTAGGTACCTGACTGTATCAAACTGGATCACAGAATTACCCCCCGTGCCTGTGGATCGTGCCATTTTCCCCCTGTTGATCTAGGAGCAGATTCTCCACTGCACTGTCAGGGGTGAGAGCGGAGAGCCAATGTTACTGAGAGAATGGTCCTGAAATTACTCTGTACAGAGCATCCAATTGGAAGGGTGCCTTACAGACATGGCACCTAAGCATTCAGATACAAGTCATAACAATATTCTCCTATGCTATGCTACTTACTTTGAGTACCTGAGAATAGCAAGGAATGCTCCTATCCAGGTACTGAAAGTCAATACCGCTGACATTACTCCGTAGTTACCTAAATTACTTTGCATGTGGAGCACTTGTAGATCAGTGGATCTTTAGCCTCCAAGGCTCCAGGCTCCAGCAAACTGGTTAACTACGGAGTAAGTCTGGGTGACAACAGAAAGGACATGATTATAAGAAGCTTTTCTCTTCCTTCTTAAGGTGTCATTCCTTAACATGTTTAGAGATGTTTAGGGTAGAGTTGCCTAGCCTAGGGAATTGCTTTGGTTTCGGTTTAGTCGTCCATGGAGAGTCAGACACAAGCATATCATAGTCTGATAATTTCCCCCAGAAGCCTCCCTATATAATAAACATTGCAGGAGGACATGCTTAGGGGTTTAAGACCCCTCCCCGCAGCTGCACCTGTCCGTGTCGGAGGCCCCTTTCTCTGTGTCCCACTGCTTCTTCCAGCGGTGCTGGCTTCGCTGGCAAAAGGGCTGCCGTTTCCGCGTCGCCTGCTGCCGAAAAAGGAAGCGAAATAGCAAATCGCGTTTCTACTCCTAGTAATAGGATCGCGATGGCCGCGCTCATCACACTAACCACGTGACCGCACACGATCTCAGACTCTCAGTTCAACACGCTCCTCTTCATCCTTCGTTTCTTGATTTATTATCATCAACGACAATGGTACTCCCTCCGGATCCTCGACTGACAAATCCATCTACGTATAACCGTGAGCAGATCGTCGCAGCCGTCACAGACTTTTATCAATTCTTGACCACTCTTCCTTTCGTGGAGCCAGATGAGATTCTGTATCCCCCTCCTGAAGGATGGCCGCAAATTACTAAGGATAAGTTCGCCTTTTTGAACAAGACAGATGAGGTAATTGAGCTGCTACGCCATCTACCTTACCTCGACTCCTCACGTGGAGAATGGAATCTCTTCCCTTGGACAAAGTCTTGTGATTACCTTAAAGGAAATGTTAAGGCATATATTCCTTTCCCCCCAGAAGATGATTACGAGTTTCCCCCCTGGGTGATAAATCTCACCTACTCAGAGGGGAAATATGGAAAATATGTTATGCTAGACACTACTGATGGTTGGTTCGGCTATACTTAATCTTTAGTATAACAACAGCCCTCTCACTAATCTATAGGCACAGCCACAGTCTATGAGATCTGTGGGAGCTACTTTGATCCCGTCTATGCGGTAGATGATCCGCGCAGCTGGCGGGATATATGTGATGATCAGGTTATGCCGCTGGAAGAATATCTTGATGAGCGGAAGAGGCATTACATCAATCTTGACTGGATCCCACCAGTGAAGGGACTGGAAACGTGGCCACATCTCCATATGCGGAGGGACAGTGATCCTAATTCTACTGCTAATGTATGTACTAATTCTAAGCTCCATTATTGTCCCTGTGCTGATCCAATTTGCCTAGCAAATGCGGGAAATCTATTTATCTTATGGTTGGCCGGATTCCTTCCGCAGAGAAGCTTGCCAAAAGGCACTGGAGGAATGGTATCGTGGCCTAAGGGATTGAATGTTTCCCTGACAAATAATCTTCTGGATCACTTTTGAATAGTACCTATTGGGTTGACAACTCTTCCTTTCAGCCTATTATGTTTCTCTTGCGAGATTGGTTGCAGTGGGCGTGGCAAAGTAGTCCAGCTTTGTTGCTGATGGACTCGCGTCTGTGATCAAGGAACCCGAGGTTGTCTCGGCGTAAGTCGGGTGCGGTTGTGTCTTCGGCGGGGCGACGATCACGGCCGACGTGGCTTCCAGGTCTATCTCTTGCATTTCACTGGAGCAGTCATCGGAACATCGTACAAGACCAAAGTACCGTTTCAGCTCTGTGTCTGTTGCTCTCCGGCTAGAATTGGCCTCAATCACAACGATATCGTCAGGATGAACGTCGACGCCTCGCTTCTTTTGGGGATTGTACATCGCGGTGTAGTCTTTTGCCCATGGGTTCCGGTCGAACCATGAGTCGCGATTCAGGAGAGCAAACCCTCGATGATCTTTGCCGTCGCCAAAATTTGGCTGGCACCGGTTGATCTTCAGGCCATCATCACCATCTCCAGGGTCTACGAGCCCTGACCACGAAACCGAATACACCTGCCTAGTAAATACCGCCTTAACCAGAACCCACTGCGTCCACAGCCCTCCCCCGTTTTTCGGAGGCTCGTCACTGTACGCGGTATCAATATCACGGGATGGGGCCTTCTTGGCGCATTTTCCTCGAAACAACCGACCGGCTGCTTGATTCTCGCCTGAGTCCACCGCGCGGATAAACTGCGGTCTTGCAGCGCCGTGATCCGAATTGCCCTCCAGGAACGCCAGGCCATTGTTGAAATCGGCAAAGTAGGCCGGCGGCCATTCGTCCGCGTCACAGTTGGCTGGTAGCTTGTTTCTGTCTCGTTCACGGTCGTACTCATCGACGGCGGGCCGATCCCGATCGGATTGTTCCTTATATTGGCATGTGACAAATTCATCGCCGGGATTGTAGCGAGCCACTGATGAATAGTGCCAGCAAGGCTGAGGGTATTTGGCGCAATTGAGAGTCATCGTGGCGGTTGGAGCGGCCCGAGTATCATCTACAATGCTGGTGGTTCGCGTTCTTCGGACTTTGCGTTTTCGACAGTCATCATCACCCGCGACGCCTGCTCTCTTGACATTGCAGCTGGTGGTCCTGGGTTTCCCGGATGTATGAGACGACTCGGGGGGCCTTGTGGAGGTTGGCTTTTTTGTGACCCTCTTTGGCTTGGCTAGGTTCTCAAGCATCTTGACGATCGCCTTGCCTTCAACTTCGACCAGCTTCGTACAGGCTTGAATTAAAGCTGGAGTCAAGAAGACTTCCGCGGCCGTCTCCAATCCTATTGCGATCTCCCCTGGTCGAGTTAATTAGCGCTGAACGGATATTCTAGAGTCTAATCATACCAAGAATAGGAACGAATCCTTCGACCGCGTCCAGTCCTGCCTCCAACAAGGGCACCGCAATCCGACAGAAGGCTTTCGCCGCCAGGTCGAGCGCCTCATTCTCAGCAGCGGACATGGCCATACCTTTGGCTGCATCTCCTAGTTTGGCACCCAAATCATCCAGCTCCGCGCTGGTTCCATCCCCGCTGCTGTCACTGTCACTTCCGATTGCACTGTTGGCATTCAGAGGCGGCGGGCGGAAGCCGCTGCAGCAAAAGCTTGCAAAGCTATTACCTGAACAGATATATTCAGACTTGCCTGCTAAGAAACTAGAGCTCTTGACGAGCTCTATTTCATCCTGCCGACAGCCACTGTAACAAGGGAGAGCTAACCCGCGATAGCCTTCCCAGCGGCACATTCCCACGGTGGTTCCGTCCGCACAACATAACGTCCGTACCTGATAATCGGGACAAAAGTCCTCATCGCCAGTCGGAATGCTGCTGGTTTGTCCGATCAATGTCTCCACGGGATTGGTACCTTGGGCGCAGGATTCTCCGCACTCAGTCGTGTAGCAGATCTCCTGTGCCTTCTGATTTGCGCGCAACTGTGCCGCGATTTTACGTTGAGCGCTCGTCAGGCCTAATGCATCGGAAATGTGAGGATTTGTTTTTGTGTCCACCTGATCCATTGCCCAGACCTGTTCGATGGCTTAGCAACCTCTTGAAGCAGGGCCAAGACAGAAAGAAAAAAAAAGACGCTGCCGAGAGTACACATCGGTAGGGGAAGACGGGAACGGCTTACCATGTAACCTCCGAGACAGCGGTACTGCGCGAAATCGCGTTTTCCTCGCAGTGTGTCTTCATCGTCATAGGAAACCCATTGGTCTTGATCCCATGTGATCCACTTGACCATTGCCTTCTGATCCCAGTAGGGAGTCAAATTATTCTCATAGACGATGTCTTGGATTTCCGCAAGATTGAGAATTCCGGAGGCCTTAGAGCAGGGCCCAGGGGCGGCGCCCATTCCATTCTCGTACACGAACTCGCACTGCCCATTCGGCTGGTTGCAGGCTGGGTCCTTGAGCCTAAAACTCCGGCCGTACTGTATCTGGTGTTAGTGAGAAACGCTGGCTAAGGGTGGCCACTTACAAATGCCATGCCCATGACGACCTTGCTGGGAGGGACTCTAGCCCGCCAGAGGAGGTCCAAGCCCATATCGATCTCGGTCACATTCGTGTGAGGGGCAATATAGGGACCGACGAATTTGGAGTCTTTATCCCACGTTCCATGTACTGCATCGCACGTCAGTTCCTATTCTTTTTCTCAGGAACCCTCAGGACACTTTCGGACTTACTGTCATAGGACATCAGGTTGAACCAGTCCACAAGACCCTCCATATTGTGAAAATCATAATGTTGCAGATACCAATAGGATGCTGGAATGGTCATCGTGATACCAAATTCGGAGCCGAAGGCACTGCGCATCTCCAGCACGAGCATTGCGTAGTTTTCCTTGTCGTCCGGGGCACCTCCTCGATCATCGGCTTGTGGATACTCCCAGTCCAGATCCACCCCATCGAAACCGTAGTATCTCATAAAGTGCATAACCTCCATGATGAATTTCCGACGTCTTCCCTCGGAGCTCACCATCTCGCTGAACGCTGTGCGAGTGGGCCCAGGGTCGGTGAACGACCAACCTCCAATCGAGATCCACGTTTGCAGGCCGGGGTTGCCGTTTTTCAGCGCGGTGAACCGAGCAAATAGATCTTCGCTGTGACCCCCCATGGGGGCAATCCGATAATCCACTGGGTCAAAGAAGGCGAACGCAAAGTTGATGTGGGTGTAGCCCCCGACATCCAGGTCCTCGGGGTTGACCCGTTGGCATGCCCTCGTGCTGGCCCACGACTCGTAATATCCGACCACGCGCTTGTTGCGTCCACTGGTTATCGCACATTCCGGACGCTTGGGCTCTCCACAGCCCCCGTACTCTTTCTGGCAACCTGTTCCGCAAAAGTCGTCCGTGGACCCGCAGAAGCTAGGGAAGGTTAGCTGACAGAACCTGGGCTACGGGACAAGGAGAGAGAGGAGACTCATACCCGAACTTTGAACAACAGACATTCAATGGGCATTTTTCTTGTCCTTTTCTGGCGTACGGGCCACATTCCGCCTTGGCATCGCAGTTGGAAGTGCAGTTGCCTTTACCACATTCTGCAGGGGAATAACCACATATCCCACCAACGCTGCAGCAGKCTCCGTTTGCACACGGCGTTTCCGCGTTGCAGGTGCCGATTGGCAAATCTCGGGTCAACAGCGAATGTCGATATAGATCGACATGCCCATGGTCATGGAACGAGGCTATGGCCGTGGCTGCAATGCCCAGGAGAGCAAAAAGTTGCACGCTCAGCCGCATTGCCCTGACAGGAGAAGAAACTTGTTGCCGGGGATCATGGAATCACGTCTATTGAGCCTCGCGGATCCCAGGGGCCTATCGCCTGATAAATAGGGAATTTGATTACGCGCTGGCATACTGGCGCAAACAGTTAATTAAGCCTACTCTCGTTCAGCCCAAGCATTATCGAGCCGGAGAATGTCTTGGTCTGACTGCCTAGCGGATCTTGGGTGTTTCTTCGATGTAACCTGACTTTTGCCAGTATTGTTTCTCATGGGGCCTTGGATTTTTGATTTTACCCTCCTAGTCCCGAGGCCAATTGAACCGATTCCCACGCTAGGAACGCACGAACTGTCAGGAAGACCAGACCATCCGCGCCCTGAGGCCCCTGACATGGCGCCATGGATGGCCTTTCAGCGCCGGTTTCCATTCCCCTACACCAATTGGCCAGAGCATCGACAGATTCGATACGGAGTACAGAAGCTAAAGTACTAACACCGATTATGACCGATATCTGCCCTAGATGGTTCACAACTAATTAGCTTGGGCGGCGGGCCATGGGAACTGCGCTAGTTTAGGGTGGTAAATATTAATCCTTCTCCGTACTTTGTATGTTATTATTCACATCCACTATGTAGTTGTGCAAGTTGGATGTCAAAATTACCTCCAAATCACCTCATCATTCAGTATATATCTCTAGATCTCGGATCTGTCGAGTAAGAATGAGACCTCCATTCGTTTTCATGCTGCATAGAGATCACTAGCAATTCCCACACTCATTCAGGCCCTGGTCTGCGTATTTTTACGAGACCTATACCCAGCTACCTTACTTTTGGTCGCTTTCCCCAACCAATCCTCCTCCGCGGAAGCAAGTCAATATCTTCTCCGAGCTAAAGGCTAAAGCACTGCCACCTCTGTCTGGGAATTGACACTAAGGCAGGCACACCCGAGAACCTACCGGATTGTAGATAGGCTGGACAGCTGCACAGTCGGGTTTGACCTCGCATTCGCATCAAGTCCGAGGCGATTTTCTTCTTTCTCCGCAGCCGGACTTGAGCCGGTCTAGTTGTCCGCTCTCAAATTCAAATAAGAATACAATCAACTGAGACATGCAGGCTCCGTCGAAACGCTAAGTTTAGCCGTTCGGTACCCTATCTACCCTCCCTCCGCTGGCCCCTCACTTCCTTGGACTATTCTGAAATGTGTCTCAGGAGTCAGGAATCAGGATCGACAGCGTCGAATCAGAGTCCCAGATCAATGTCTGCTTCTCGCTCAATCTGGGAATTGCTGGGATGTGATTGGAGCATCCCAGCCTCTGGTGTCTAACGAGCCTCCGAGCAAATCAACCAGAACCGACGGGTCAAATTGCAAAGTAACCTTGCACGGGGACGTTGGTCCTGTGCGGAGCAAGTTCGGCTAACTTTCGACCCTTGAGCATGGACGGAGGATAATGGGTGGCGTGCTATGTTTACGCGGGCAAAGGTTGAGAAGTCTGGTTACAAAAGACCGGCCACCCGTATAGACGAAGAAGTGTTGGGAGCTCGCAAGGGTATGCAGGTCGGTGTACGCTCACCATGGCATCACGTCTCATATTATGGCTAGCGCTGTGCGTGGTTCCCTATGTGAGCGCCTTCAACCTCTACCCTCCATATGACCCGACGGCCTTAGCCAAGGTTCTCAACATTACTACCACTTGTCTCGAGGCATTGTAGGTCACACCGTGAATACCTCGTGTTTCTGAAGGATGTATCGATTGCTGATTGTATGACTGCAGAAACGAAACTGTGCCAGAATGCGATGATACGCTCTTCCATCTGGCGGCCGAAGTCGATCGCTACTGGTGGGAGGACGACAATGTTGCCGCACTATGCAGTGGAAACTGTTCTGTTGCGGCCAAGTACTGGGATCTTAACGTGGCCGGGGCGTGTGACGAACAGTACCTGCCAGTGTATGGCAAGATGATTCCCGTGAGCTCGGTCTCGGGTCGCTACGTGGACGGTCTGAACCTGGCCTGTTTAGGCTCCACGACCAACGACACTTGGTGTGTGGTCGAGTCGCAGGGGTGGCAGGGCTCTGACGTCTATCGGCCAGATTGCGAGGCGGATCCCACAGATCCCGCTTGTGCAAACAATGGGGCCGACGTGCCATCGTATCAACGTTTGGCTGATTTGTATGAGGATGATATCGTGAGTTCTTCCATAGCGAACGTCAAGACAAGCAGACTAATGAAGGGTTCCAGTTATGCAACGATTGTTTCATCCAGATGCTGTATCAGCGGGTGACCAGTCCCTTCCTACCCGTCAGCAACTATTCCGACTTCCTGGTGGACCAGCTGCAGGATATTGGGGACATCTGTTCGACCACCCTCCCCAATATCACCACGCGTGATGTGCCGACCTACCAGCCGGCTCCGACACCTACGGTGACCCGCAATGTCACCGCGACTACCTCACCCACTGTTACCCCAACCTGCCTGGGCCAGATGATCACCGGTTCAGGCTGTGACACTCTCTCCCTCAAATTTGGTGTCACCACAGGCGATCTGCAAGCTTGGTCGCGCAGCGCTACGTGTACCATTTCCGGCTCTCTTTGCCTTCCGGCCGCCTGTGAGTTGCAACTCGTAACAAGCGGAAGTACATGGTGAGTCCAGTGTGCGTCTTTGAATATATCTCGTGCGCTAATAATGGCAGCGAATCTCTTGCTCAAGGAGCGCCGGGAAACATCACTCTGACCCAATTCTTCAAGTGGAATCCCAACATCATCGGCCTGTGTGATCGGCCGACGGTGGGCCAATATGTCTGTATTGGGTGAGTCTTTCTCATGACCACACGTTCCTGGTTGTGCAGGTTCCAGACTGACCAGAAGCAGCGCACCTGGCGGTAGCTATGCACTCGCAGCACCTCCTTTAGGCAGTGACGGTGACGTTGGCAACCAGCAACGCGGGGGGTCCGACGACGGCAGTACCTCCAACAGCACCACTTCATCCAGCACGCCGAGCAGCACACAGGCAAGCAGCACCAGCGTGGCCGTACCAGGCCCGACACAGACAGGCATCGATCCCGCCTGCAACAAATACGCCAAGGCGCCCGTAGGGGGCAACTGCATTGACTTTGCTTCAGACAACGGCATCACCCCAGCGCAGCTATACGCGTGGAACACCGTCTTAGGCCAGAATGGTGCATCATGCAGCACCCTTTTCTGGGGAAATGAGTACTACTGTGTTGGTGTGGCGGGGGACAGCAGTAGCGGATCGACAACCACTACTTCGCCGTCGACGACGTCTGTTACCGCACCAGGCCCGACGCAGTCCGGGATCGTGAGTACCTGTAATAGCTTCGCTGAGCCAGCGGCCCAACAGGGCTGCTATGACTTTGCCCAGGCGCACGGCATCACGCTGGCCCAGCTGTGTTCTTGGAATTCCGTCTTGGGGAGTGATTGCGGGAACTGCGGCTCGTCATTCTGGGGTGGGACATACTACTGCGTGAGAGTCAGTAGCTGAGCATAGATGCTGCTATATGATTGATAATGTCCGGGTCACTATCGGCATGACACCTTGCCTAAGACTTTGGATCAACTACTACCGCCGTTAGCTATTCCCCACGATCTCCAAGCTGTACGTTAAATCACACTATTATATTTTATAAAGCAAAGGATAAGCGCACACAGTACTATTGACTGTGCGGGGAATATTTCATTTGATTCCCTGAGACCATTAACAACTGATTTGGCGCTTTCTATCCTTCCCTGGGGTTCCTTGGGTCAGTAAAAAGGGCAATATACGAGTGCTAACTGCTCTGCGCCTGCACCTCCTTAGCGTCCACATCCACCAATCGCCCCCTGCGAGAAACAGAGCACAAAACAATCGACATGATCCGCTCCCATCTGCCACACAAACCTCGTTAGCCTCAATCCATACTCAGCAACTGGGAGACTACACTTACGCAACAAGAATATTCAAAGCAAAGACGATAACCTCTGCCTGCTCCGCAACTGACGGGTACTCATGATAGACAAGACCCCAGTAAAAGGCAAAGTCCCTCATTGCGAGGGAGGCCGCCCCGATACCACAGAGGATGAGGACAAGGATGTCAAGGATGGCCGTCGCCGTGATGAAGCCGATATACCGGAAAAGCAAGAACAGAGCGAGCAGGTCTGTGACGGTTGCCAGAGAAGCCTGCGGCAGGTTAGTCCGGTTTGAATAATGTATAGGAAAGGAAAAGAGTGTGGCTCACGGTGGCTAGAGTGATGGGAAGCACAATCGGGCGGTCCTCTCCCCAGCCTGTTGTTGCCAGGCGGGCTGTGACGGCGAGAAGGGCGATGGCAGACGCGCAGAAGAGGATTCGCAGGCCAAAGTGAATCCAATCTCTTCCACGGAGGGAGTCAGCGCCCGCCATGATGTTCTGAAGTTGCGGAGGGGATGGTAGTCTAAGTGGAATAGAATGAAGTTGTTAAAAGTGAGAATAAGAGGCCCATTTTAAGAAAGGAAGAATACATTAGCCAATGTGAGACATGGCGAATCAGCGCTTCATTGTTATTATTAGCTAGGAATTACAGTAGACTCTGTACATTAGCTTAAATGTCCTTGGACTGCTTGCTTGGACCTTGGTTCAGTCTGTCTTGTCATTCCATATAGCGCAGACTGGTGTACATAGGATTCTTAAAAACAGACTGAATAGAATCCCCATTCTTTGCTAACTGATTCAACTACAGGCAAAATCACAATTAAAAGAACTGTTTTATCCTCTTACTTGTGTAATTCCAAGTCTACACTGCCAAGAACAGGAACGAGGCTGGACTCGGCCGGGTCATATAGATTACAGCTAAGTCTGTCCTAACTCCTAAGATAACTAGTGCCTTTGGTGTCTAAAACTACTCTGTTTTAGTAAAAGCTTTAATTTCAAAGAGAAGAGCACAGGGTCCAGGGGCTTAACCCAGTCTACTGATGCAACAGGAGACTGATATAATGATAGCGCCTGTCAGTGTTCCTAGATAACACCGTAACACACTTTAAGAGCCACATTTTTTACAGCGCAAAGGTCGCGGTGCAGGGGTTTTAATAAATCCTTTTCATCTGTCTCTGAAAAAGCAATGGAAATACCGGTTCAATTCCCATATCCCAGTCATCGTCATCAACCCCATAGCCAACCTCCTCATCATCATCAGCTTCAATATCCGGTTACCGTAGCGCATGACGAGCTCATCAATGTAAGTCAGGAAATCCTCAAGTGAAGCACCTGAATACCTTAACTAAGCATTCTCTAGAACTATAGCAACCCTCAAGGGAGGATCTTCAGACACAGCAAAGACAAAGTACATATGGTTTTCTGGATAGTCTTATATATCTACTAAAATGTCAGAAGGTCCTGGTCATGAGAAGGTCCTAAAGAAGCCCTACCTAATACTATAAGTATAGCTTAGGAATTAATCCTAGCACCAGTTGAGGCATCAGCAAATATAGAAGCGATAGAGCCATCATAGTCTCCTACTCTAACACTATTCAGATAAGGTAAGTTAACCATGTGCTTTCCCTAAATAGGAATACTATACTACTTCTAGTAATTTACTATCACTAAAGACTATAGAATAGTTCTAACTTAATATCTTTCTACTATCTTTATCATGCTTCTTAAGCTATAAGGATATTACTTCTTTTATTAAGGATTATGTTATATCATGCTATATTATGTATAGGGAAGAGGTCATCCCCATTAGGATCAACCTAGGATAAGGGTGGATAACATCCCGAAACCCACTATGACGGAGAACGGGATTACATCCCGGCCAACACTCGTATATCATACGGAGGACAAGTTATACATAGAAGAAATAAACAATCATACATCACGGATCGTTATCGGTTCCAGCCCATATCATTCTGGCATCATTCTCCAAGAGTGATTCCCGTCAAGTCCGCCCAGTCGAAGACCTCCAGGAATGGGTCTATCTCTCCATAAGGCTAGATTCCACACCATCAGAGATGCGGGTGAATTGGAATGGGTTCAGGTACTCACCGCGATACAGAAGCCTGGCGATTGCAGGGCGCCGTTCAGGTCTGCGGCAAGAGGAGGCGCCAAACCGGGGCCAGAAGGCATGCTAGGGACCTGGAAGAGAAGAGTGTGTCAGCGGAGGGGACCGATAGGAAGTGGGAGGCGGCCAGCATTAACCTGATCTGTTCCGAAGCAGCCCTGCCCTCGATCGCCCAAGTGAGCGCAACTGGCATGTCGCGAAAAGAGGGTCTGCGCAAAATAGATCACCCGGTCGACTACCTCTTGCTTGTAAATATTCGCCTGTGCCGGCCACAATCTCGCCTTGACCAATGCCAGGAGCGTCGACATGAAGAAGTACTCCTTTGCGCCCTTGACTACAAGAAGGAGCCGCGTCTCGACAGAGGCCAAGACCATCTCGAGCAACGAGACGAGGGATTCGGGAAGCCCGGGTAGCGTGTGGGTGAGCAATGCAGGAGAAGATGCTGCGAGTAAATGTTAAAAACGACACCTGAGCCAACCCTGAAATTCGCAAATGACGGGGTCACTCACCGTGGGTGCTACTCCCCGCGTGCAATATCTGACATACGGTACAGAATGCCTGTATGGTCCACTCCCCGAAGTTGCAGAGAGACAATTGCTTCGAGGTTTCATGAAGGCGCTTTTGGTTGGAAAGGATGAGGGTGGCAACCTCTAGGCGTGAACGCGCAGAGGGTGCAAAGAGTGGCTCCCGCGGGGCTTCGATTGCGAAAGGGGTATGAAGGGACAAAAGACTATGAGCGACTTTCGTCTCCAGGAGGGATTTGAGTAGAGCGACTTTGTTCTTGCTCTGATAGTCGTCATTCTCTGCAACGGGCCAAGCAGGGATATTCTGAAGATATCTCCCGAGCTCCCAGTCCAAGCGTTGAATCTCGTCGTAGCGGCAGCTGATCCGCGGAGAATGCATCAGAGCGCACGCTTTGAGGCGCAATGGGAGCGATTGCGTGAGAACTGCCTGGAATGACGAATCGGTTATTTCGTGGAGCGGCCTCTCTCCAGGAAGCTCGGTACTGGTCTCCTGGATTTCATTGTCGTTGATGTTCGAGGCCGCAGCTGTATCGTAGTCCGATTCTTGAACCGAGGGGGGCATCCCCCGCTCAAGGGCAACCTGAAGGTCGAGTTCCACAATGGTCGTCCAGATCCGTCTGCGCATCTCCTTATTAAAGACGGAGATCTTGGTGTACCGGCTAGGATCACGATGATATCCAGCAATCATGGCCTGTTTGACCAGTATTCCCGTAGCAAGCCAGGCATGGCTGCGTTTCATCCCAAAACTATTTTGGGCAATGATCAGGAGAATTTGCATTCGGAGAGTCGTAATGTCTGGCCGTTTGAAATGTGCGTTATCCAGCCACTTTTCGACGTGCAGAACCCACTCCACCGGAGTGTAGCATTTCAGGCTAGCTTCGTTCTTCAGCTGGAGAGTCTCAAAGTCTGCTAGATTCCAAGCACAGGCGAGAACTAGGAGGAGTTGCACGACAAAGCCAGTTGACACCAAATCTGGATTGTCCTTTTGCGCCCAGAACTCGTCCAGCTCCTTGAGAAAGGACGGAACGTGAAGGATACGATGCGTGGACTCGATACAAGTCAGATACAAGACCACTAGTTCATCAACTGTTCGACGGGAGGGCAGCATGTCGATGAGCGACTTTGCGTCCGGCAGTGGGAACGACTCATTCAACGGTTTTCTTTTCCACAGTCCCCGCTTTACCCTTTCCAGGTCGAAGCGCAGTTGTGTAAGGTTCGGACTCGAAAGTCGGACCTCCTCCGCAAATGACCTGATATCTGGGAACTGCCACAGCATTAACCAGCAAGAAACTCAAACGAACATATGGCAGTAACTTACCTGCGCGATCAAGTTGGCAAGTATGCCCGACCCGTTGAACCGAGTCTTGGTCTCCTTACCTCGCATCATCATACGCGGCAGGATATCTAGCTGCTGGGAAGGCGATGCAAGCTCGTCGTCATCTTCCAACGGCAGTGGCTGTGCCTCGTGGCGACTCTCAGGAGGATGCCGGGGCCGCTGAAGCACTTCGGTGTTCACATATGGTTCCTGGTTGACACCCGCCTTGGGGGCTCCGAGAACAGTCTCGAGAAAGCTTCGTTTCTCTTCTCCATGCCGGCCATGTGGTGTAGATGGCAGCGGTGGTGGTTGGGGCCGAGGCGGCGGACTGCTTATCCCCGAGTCCGGGGTAGTGAGTGCGGGTGCCCGATCAACTCGGGGCATCTGAGCCAGTGCTGTGGAACCGCGGTCGGAGAAGACGGGCGATGCAACTGTATTGGGTTGCTGCCACAGAAAGCCATCCTCATAGGTGCATTTGGTAGGTGTTTTGCTCTTCAGACATCGGCCGCATGTGGGATATTCGCGATCGCACCGGAGCTTTCTGCTGCGACATTGCGTGCAGGCCATAGTGCGTCTGCGCCTCTTGCGCACACGTTGCTCTGGCGGCTGGGGCTGCTCCGGCTCTGGAGGCCCCATTTTCTGCTGAATTTCGGTCATGATCGATAATACATCATTGTCATTATTAAGTTGAAACTGACGACTTCCAACGATGCTTCATTCTCCTGTCTCTCATCCTTTTTCCCTTTCTTGAAACTTACCAGTAAGCGGGCGCAGGCTCGGGGCTTTTCATAGGAACAAGCGGAAACGGTTCAGCATTGCTTACGTGTGTGGCCCACCGGGCTTCTTAACCCGATCGGGCAATCCCCTCCGCAGACGTCTCACTTGTCTGTCGTATTATTCGTATAGGGAGAGAAGTAAGGCGTAAGGGTCTCAGGCACCAGATCGTCCTCGGTTAATTTCGACTCTCATCACTGGTAGTCTAGTCTAGTCTATCTACCTTGTATAAGGGGGGTTCATCTCTTTCAAACATCGACAAATCGATAACACCGGAAATCAACCTGAATAAACCACGGAGTGCTACTGTCATCGCCTTGTCCTTGACCGCAATCTCACCATATTTCAGCCCGTGTATGGCTCCGTGTCATATACCGCTTAAACCAGTAATCTTGTTGCCTAAGCATCATACCCAAAGAAGGATGATTTCTACTCTGAGTAAGCTTAGACTCAGCAAGGCCTAGTCTGCCGAATTGACAACAAGGCTACGAGCGAGTCGATTGCAAGCCTGACGACAACCCTTTTCTGCCAGCCCTAGTCCCCCGGGCCTTCCGTGTTGAGGTGCGTAGGACCGCCGAAGCTGAAAGATCGCGCGGCGCCTCAGCACTATCACTTAATGGGCTGATGTAAAAGAGCATACCAGTTATGTCATCGTGTGTTATGCCAGTTTTCATTTACATTAGTAAGGCTAAAGTTTCTTAACCATTATGCCATAGTCCAATCACCAACTCGTCAATCCCCGAAGTCGATCAAAACCGCCTCTAAGCTGACTCTCCGGATGTACCACTTTGCCCTGCAAAAGGGTGTATTTCACAATGCCCTCGCAATGTTCCGGCTTGACCCGCGCCAACCAGATCATCTGCTGCTCCTTCTTGCGATAGATCATGACATTGGCCGCGAATTTATGACCACCGACATGTGAGACGAAGAATATCCCAACACCCCCGGGGCGCTCATCATGTGCATCGCGATATAGGTCAAGAGGACGCAGATGCCTTTCAAGTTCTTTCTTGATCAACGGCGCCGTGATCCCGCAACGGGCATCTCGCCTTTTATGCGAGCACAAGAGCACGACGTAATCATACTGGCACGGTCGCGACATGAGTGCAGAATTCGACTGCGAGGTTCCAGCTTCCTGCGGCGTGTCGATGAACCGGTCAACCAGCTCTCGCACATCCCCGGGTTTCACGCAGTCCACAAATGTGAATGAAGGTAGAATCAGCACGGTATTTCCCTCGTTATCCTTCTCGGTCTCATGGTTCTCCGGCGAGCGGAGATTCGACGCAGATATCATGATCCGCTGGCTCTGTCAGAAAGACGATACCATACGTAAAACCCTGGCGAGATACGTACACCATGTCGTGGCTTGACAGAGTCTAATGCTTCCATCAAGCTGCCCTTTTCTTGCGTCACTTTTTCAACCCAGTCTGACTTTCCTGTAGCCACCAGCACATGTGTATCGACTCGTTTAATGTGTCCGTAGAGCGGCGTCAAGCTCTCGATTTTCACCTTGGACGGAAATTCGACCGTGCAATCGGCGCAATCTTGCTTGCAGTCTGGGCCATCCTGTTTTGGATCAACGGTTGGAAAGATGTACTCTGTGTTGCGCCCAAATGATAAAAGTGATCGTAACATCGTGGTCGGGATTGCGATCGCGACAGGGGTACTCCGTAGATGTTTATGATCGACCAAACAGTGAGGAGCTTATCTAAGGTCAACAAAAAAATCTGAAGACACAGGCGACGATAGTCAAGGATTGTCTGATTACCGCTCCTGGTATAAATACTTTCAATGCGTCAACTCCGAGCTGCATAAGACCGAAAATCCCGAGCTGGCGTTATCCCCGAATATTGCTGCCTCAAAAGACCAGCCAGAATATGTTCTGGGACTGGAGATGCCCGATCGCTGTCTTACTAGTAGTATGGTTCATTTTGACACCATAAAGGCTCATGTCGCATGCAGTTCATTTGTCTCTGCGAAATGCAAGGCGATTCAAGTAGGCTTACTGCGCTGTGACTGAGCACCTATCAATACAGCTATCTCTGCTTCATTATTTGCTATTTCACTCCTCAGTATGCAGCAGGTACGCAGCCACAAAGGCACAGTCAATTAAAGCAAGCCACTTCTAAATCCTGATTTACCTCAATTGCATCCAGAAAATTTAGAAAGATAACCCTCAAAGACTGCCCTATGCCCTATATTTTTCCTGTCCAGAGCTGTCATGTGATTGTTCAGTGGGAGTAACGCGCTACGTCACCCGCGCCGTCAAACCCGCGTTAATTGATTCGCGACCGCGTCAAGGGGCCGAGCGGCCGATTTGCCCGCTCAGAAGGAATATGACTGAACCACTGATCCGTTCTAGCGTCGCTGCGATAGGATCTAAAATCAATTGACGCTCGACATGAAAAATGGCAAGTGTCGCCATCTCTGAGATCGTGACTCAGTCCGCAAATCTGCGCGCGGAACTGAAAGAGTGGGAGAGGGCCTTTGCAGCGCAAAATGGTGGGAGGAAAGCAGAGCGGCATGATATCAAGAAGGTTCCTGAGATCGGTATGATGTTCTCCCTATCAAGATTCTACTTCGCGCAGAGAACTGACACTGCACTATAAACAGCTGCCAAATACAAAGAGTACTCTCGACTGAAAGCACTTGAATCGTCCTCGGGAAACCCAGACGATCCCAAGTCTGTCCGGTTAGAAGAACGACCCAAGAAACGCAAACACACATCTAAGGATGGCCCGGATGCTGTTCAGGGTGCATCTACGCCACGAAAAACCGCCAAAGGTGCTTTTGAGACGCCATCCAAGAATCGAATCTCGAATTCCCATCCTTCCCAGGTCGATCCTTATATCTCACCTACGGCATTGCGCAGACTCTTCAGTCCCTCAACGCACCGTACACCGCTAAAAACAGCCATCGGTCCTACCCCTCAACGCGACGGAAAGGCTCTAGGTCTTTTCGACCTCTTATCAGAATCCGGCGGAAGCACAGCAACGCCCTCAGCAGATCGCGTGGCAAGCGTACGTACCGCAAATGTGCAGACCCCGTCGAAACGAAAGACTATGGACACCATCATGGAAGAAGACGAGGAGGGAGAAGAGGAGAGCCCTAGAGCCGGACGCACACCGGCATCGTCCGGGAAGAAGTGGATGCTGTCAGCGCTATTCGCGACCCCGACCACGCTCCGCTATTCCGCAATGGTTGAGGACCACAACCATATTGCTGAGGGGAACCAGGATGCCCAGACCAATCCCGATGGCACCGCCAACGACGTGACCGGGTCCGAAACACCGTCTTTCTTGCGACGGTCAAATTCAGCGCGATACGCCACCTCTCACTCTGCCAACCCCGACGGCCTGAGTCCGATTGCCGTGCGCAAACCGCCCCAATTTCTCGGAAAGGGCCTCTCGGCGCTAGTGCAGGGACTACGCGACATGGAAGAGGAACGGCTAGAAGACGAATTGGACGTCCTCCGCGAGATTGAGGCGGAGCAGGCAGCTCTGAACGTCGAAGTCGCCGATAGCCAGGCGCCCGCTGACAACATTGGCCGGCCCTGGAGGAAGAAGGGGCAGAAACGTACAACGCGCAGGGGGCGCATGAGACCTGTCATCTCGAAGCCAACCTCAATGCCGCAGGGCTCGATATCGGACGATGAAAGCGAACACCAGGCGGCTGATGAGAATGCCGCAGAGCTTGCAGCAGTCCCCGAAACACAACAGCCGAGGACGCTTGACGCAGCGTTTGGTGAAAATCAAGACGAGGACTTTGACGATGAAGATGATCAAGTCTCGCTTCACACCATGTCGGAACCAGACCTTGATTCCGACCCTGACTATGGGGAGGATACGAGACCCGTCACGAAGAGCAAGAGCTTCTCGGAGAAGATGAAAGAAGCTATCGGGGTTGTCCAGCCACAGCCAGCAGAACGTCCGGCAAACGCCACCAAGCCGGTGGTGGAAGAAGAGAAGACCAAGAAGGTTCGCGCGCGCAAGGTGAATCCGGAGGCGCATGCAAACTACCGCTCTTTGAAGATCCGAAACAAGAACAGTAAAGGCCGGGGCGCTGGACGCTTTCGTAGGAGATAGGCGGGCGGGGTATTGACCACGCAAGGTCTGCATCTACAGTACTCACGAGGAATGACTACCACACATACAGCATTGAAGATACCATTTGGCCATATATGCATTAGTCTATATTCTACAGCGTTATTCTATCTGGCATGCCTCATTATCCGGTAACATAAGTGACCTTCGGAGCGCTTCCGCGCGTTAATCAGGAATATATCTGTCCCGTGCGTATTGTAGCCGTCTCGCTTGCGCCAAGGCATCCCTCGATCTACCTGATGGTTGGTACCCCCGGGGCCGATGAGGTTTTGATACTCTCCCGCGAAATGAACGTTGGTAGACCGGAGTTGCGGTCCGATCAGAGACCTCGGAGCCTCCCCCAGCTGGGCGAGCCAAGGGGCCACCAGGAGTACTATCCTCGTACTGAACATGGCGGTCCCAATCCTCCAGAGACGTGTAAGGGCTCCGTAACCAGGCCTGCAGCTCATGCAAGAACAAGCGCGCATTGTCTCTTCCTAGAAAATCGCGCAAGAGCTCTTCCGCCTGCCCCGCACTGCCCTTGATATCAACAGTGCGAAGAATCGCAATAACGTACTCGAGTAAGAACTCGGCATTATTCCCCCGTCGGCTCTCAAGTCGCTGCTGACCAGGACGAGCCACCCGACTAGGCCCTAGTTCTGCCTCCCCTTCCGGATTCAAGAAAGTAAACACCCTAAGCTCGCGCCGTATCCATTTCCGTGCCCGAGAGACCAGCTCTTCGTCACGATTGAACGATTCTGGTGATAGTTCGCAGTACTGAGAGAGACGGTTCGAGCCGACTCGTAGAGAGTAAAGCTGATGACGGTAGACATATTGCCGCCGTATTAGGGGATCGTCCGGCTCCCGAGGTCGTGGGCTTTCTGCGGGGCGTCGTCGGTGGCGAGGACCACGGGGTAACCGCCCTGGGTGATGAGGAGGTATAGAGACGGGCGCATCGGCAGCGGATGGAGGAACCGGTGGTAGTTTGTAAAGCTTCGGTCCTTGAGGGTCCTCAAGCTCGTACTTGACAATGTGAACATCACTGTTGCCTAGGAATTGTTAGTCTGAAGTGAACCGAAAGCGAGGTTTAGAGGGAGACATAGAAAGGCATACATAGCGGACAGTTGCGGCGCTGCTCCAGCCAGCTCACGATACATAAAAAGTCGAAATTCGCATGTGCGCAAGGCACCGTGACAGCTGGTTCTGTGATTGCTTCCAGGCAGATGACGCATGGGTTAGCCACATCGTCACCATTGTCCTCTTGCGCTACTTCTTGCAGCGTTTTCTGCAGGATCTCCTGTCGCACATCGACATCTCCAGACATCAGACATCAGACTGATTTTCAAGTAAAGGGAATCGATCTGTGACAGTTTTGGTGAAATGAATGTCATCGGCGAAGAGAAAGCGCCGCCCTACTCCTGCGGGCGTAGGTCACGTTGTGGCGGGAAAAACCAAACCCGCGGCGAGTCGACCTCCTCGAGATTCACCAACGCAACTCGCAACGCTGGAACCCATGGTGGGAAAATGATGAGGTCTGCCAAATCTGCCATTGCTGAGAATTGCTTTGCTCCTCTTAGCTCTGCCGCAAGTATGACAAGAGGGAAAACCAATGGAAATGGCTTCGTGAACCATGCGAATGGCAATCAGCTTATCTCACGCACCATAACAGGGTTGAAGCGCTGGTCCGTCATCAACAGAGATTTACCAGGTGCGAGAGCTGTTTTCACCTGGACTAAATATCTTGAACTTCATTATTAACTCTCTCCATGCAACAGCGGTATCGCAGGTAAGAGCTATTCATGTGTACGACTTTGACAACACCTGTGAGAGCCCCCGTTCGCAGTTACTTCTGTATTTCGAAGCTCATATCCTGCAGTATTCCTGAGCCCCTTGCCGAATCCGCAACTTTGGAACGGCCCGACGATTGGATTTCTACAAAGCCTGGAAAGTTTCACAAATGGAGGATGGTGGCACGACCCGGCGTTGCTCGCAGCTACAGGAGAAGGCATGGCCAAGGAGGAGCCGCGAGCTTGGAATGGCTGGTGGAATGAACAGATTGTGTGACTTAAAATGTCTTGGATGGTTTGGCATGGTTCGCTGACTGGCCGCAGGTACGGCTGGTCAAGCTGAGTATGGAGCAGAAGGACGCTCTCACAGTACTTCTGACGGGCCGAAGTGAGAATGGTTTCGCGGACATTATTCGGCGCATGGTGGACAGCAGAAAGCTGGAGTTTGACCTCATCTGTCTCAAGCCTGAAGTGGGACCCAACAGCGAACGCTTTGCAACCACCATGGAGTTCAAGCAAACATTCCTTCAAGACCTCGTTCTCACTTATGAGCAGGCCGACGAGATTCGGGTCTATGAAGATCGAGTGAAGCAGTAAGCCTCTTGTCAGACGCCCGTGCCTGAGAGATCACTCATTTGTTGCTAGTGTCAAGGGCTTCCGAGACTTCTTTGAGGATTTGAACAGGTCGCTGCAGGTTGTGCCAGCACCTCGGAAGCCGATCAATGCGGAAGTGATTCAGGTCGCGGAAGGATGCACCTTCCTCTCCCCTGTAGTTGAAACTGCCGAGGTACAGCGTATGATCAATTCCCACAATAAGTCTATCCGCGAAGCTTCATCGAATATGACCCGGTCGCCATATGGTCGTCTGCGCATCAAGCGCACCATTTTCTACACTGGATATCTTATATCTAACGCAGACTCGAATCGTTTGATCAGCCAACTACTGACCCCGCATCTGCCCTCTGGGCTTGCTGAATCCAATGATCTGAAGTATATGGCTAACAGTATCCTCATTACCCCGCGCCCTGCCCCTCGATCTATTCTGAACAAGGTCGGCGGCATTGGCAAAAAGCTCACCTGGCAGGTCACTGGGACTGCCGTCTTTGAGAACAAGGTGTGGGCTGCTCGAGTGGCTCCTGTTCCTGCGACGGAGAAGTACTACACAGAGAATCCATTGCCCGTGATAGTTCTAGCTGTGCGCAAAGGCGCTCGTCCTATTGATGCGGGCAAGATTCAGAACTGGCATCCTGTACCAGCTGAGAAAGCTTTGACTTTTGAAACTGTCGTCGGTGAGAAAGTCGTCTTGCGTGTGGAAGAAGAGAATCCCCATGAGGGCGAGTGGGAGAGTCAGTTCTTGAACAAGAGCCGCAAGAGACGCCATCAACAAGAACGTGATCAGGATATCCTGTATCCACAATCCAGTCAGAATGATGAGCCGCCATCCCACATGAGACCACAACCGTACTATAATTCCCGTTATGGTGGGAACAGCCGCCATCATGATGATGGACCACGTCGTGGTGGCTCGCACCGCGGTGGTCGCGGCCGTGGGGGAGCGCCACGAGGTAAGGGCCACTCAAGTCGTGGAGGCGCGCGTGGTCGAGGCCGTGGGCGCGATGGCGGTCCTGCTAGCTATCGATCCTTGGATGACCACGGTGGATATGATGGCGGTTACGAAGACAAACCTGGACCAGGCGGTGCTGGACCTGTCATGAACTACTAATACTGAGCTGGCGATTAGGGTTTATTTCCATGGGAATTGCTGCATCTTATTTGTCTTTGATAATATCCATTGTTCCTGTGGTCGATCTCGGCGTCGGAGTCTTATCTGGGGTGTGAAATGATGCCTTTCAATTGATTGATCCAGCATGGCCGGCATTTATACTTGCCCTTTCGACCCCCTTGAGAATTCTAGTATCTGCCTTCAAGGGTCGAAATGCATCCACCATACATTATGTTGCAGATCAACAGCCATTGCACTTCTGATATTCTCGTACAATTAGCAACTAGGTACATGGAAGTGATACAAGGTGCATTCCTGAAATATGTGGAACTTGTCTCCCTCTACCTGTTACATCATCCTGTGTCCCGTATTTCTGTCGGTCAGTTTTGGCTTGTCAGTCGCAACCATCGAGAATGATTGAAATATGCAATTGAAGACCGCTACAGGAGGCAGACTGCAGAAACAACCATGCATCAGTCCATCAGATGATCGGATATTTTTGCCCGGAGAGTGGCGTTCTTTTCTTTTCTTTCTGGTTGAACAACTACATAGATATTTTTTTCTACTACCTATCTGGAAGAGCTAGAACCTCCGAGTGATTAAGGAGAAGGGGGGATCGACGCTCCACTATCGTCTCCATGTCTATCCAGATTCCAGACTAATCTCTATCCTCCCTTAAGATCTATGTATCCTTTACAACACATTCCTCAGATGATCAGATCTTCTCCATGCAACAAACATCCTCGCGCACATTCGGTCCGCATTTCCCCCTCTTGCGGATTCCACTATATTAGCGCTGTGTGATTAGACCCCTCATGGCTGTCAAGCAGACCCAATCTAGGGGATATGAGTCCATCTCGTTAAGGAACGAGTGTAACCTCAACTTTGGCTAAATTATCAAGGCGCACTGACGCCGTACTCGAACTGGTCGATTCTCCGTTAGTTGGCTGTACTGCAGAATCGGGAAGTCTGGTGACTCCCTTTCAAGGGTCGAGATGAGTCCTCGGCTAAAGTTGGACTCCCACGATGGCTTGGAGGCAAATACGATCTAATTCTCCAATGCGCTTGACTTTAATACAGGCCCTTCACCCTGAGGGCCTTATTATCGTCGATTTTAGCCCAGACGGCCTAATCAGCATGCTTCCGGACCGAAGTCCCATTCCCTACCGGCTGATTTCCGTCTCCAGGTGACTCCACGGGTTTATGGGGGATGACCCTGGTCCTCATTGCCCTTTATTCAGAATCTGCAGGGACTACAAAATAACGGGGCGTCCCCATAGCTCTTGCGGAGAGAAGGTCTGATAAGGTGTTACTTGTGAAGTGACACTTTACTGTTGAGGAATATCACTTCTCCCGAGCAAGCAGGAACTGTCAATTAGACGCCTTTCCTATTGCTTCAATGCAAGACAATGGTATGAGAATCGGTCAATCGAGGCGATAACAATGGTGATACGTTGCTTCATCCTTGGGAGTATTGTCCCCACTGTGCTCGGACTCGTTGCGCAGCATGTGTCTGTGGCCAACGAGAAGACTTCTCTCACGCTCCTCTATCAGAACAATCTGAATGCATCGGACGCTTCAAACCACATCAGTGCAATCCTACTTGACCCAATGCTTCAGCAAGATGTACGTGAAGCATGTCAGGAATTTGGAGAGACGCTGATCTCCCAAACAAGCCTTCGAGAACACAAAGAGGATTTCAAGCATCTCTTTTCATGGCTTGCACACTCGGGAAGAACAAAATCGGACGCACACTTTTACATTCGCGAAGGCGTGCTCTCTGTTTCCAAAGACTCGGATGATTTCGCTGTCTCCAACTTTCCGCCTCAAAATGCAAGGCTTCCCGTTTTGTGCACCCAGACAGGCAACGATTCCGACACAAACAGTCGTCCGAAGCGGCTGCGAGTAATGTCGGAAGGTAACTCGTATATTGGTTTCCGCGATGAAAAGTCGTTTCGCTTCTTGGGTATTCCATATGCCGACCCTCCTCGGCGCTTCAAGTACGCAACACTTTATCCGCACAAAGACAAGATTATCCGCGCGACCAACTATGGTTCTGCATGTGCTCAGAGCAGCGGCGGCAGTGAGGACTGTCTATACCTGAACATTCAAACACCCTACATACCCAAGGAGGGATCGCGAGAGGGCCTGAAGCCTGTCATGTTCTGGATACATGGCGGTGGCTTTACTGGAGGAACAGGTGCAGATCCGCTTACAGATGGTGGTAATCTGGCATCACGCGAGGACATCGTGGTGGTCACATTTAACTATCGGCTGTCGACACTTGGATTTCTGGCTATTCCTGGCACTGATATTACCGGAAACTATGGAATATCAGACCAGATTCTCGCCCTTGAGGTACTATTCCCACTTCTCCCTATAGAGGTTCCCAGGACTAACAGTCCCAGTGGACTATTAAGAATATCGCGCAATTCGGAGGTGATCCAAAGAAGATTACCATCATCGGTGAATCGGCCGGCGCTGGCTCGGTCAGAGTGCTACTAGGGTCTCCTCCTGCTTCCGGAAAGTTCCAAGGCGCCATTGCCATGTCAAACCTGGGTGGCGGTGCTGGGCTCGGGCTGGAGAGCGACTACGCAACGACGTACAGTTCATATCTCACAATTGACGAGTCCTATAAACTAGCGGGTCCGCAAATCTTCTCCGAAGCAGGCTGCCACAGCGGCAATCTGGAACATAAGATATCTTGCCTGGGACAAGTTCCTGCGTCAACCCTCGTCGGATTGCAGACTGTTGCGCGTTATGTCGTCCAAGACGGCCATTATGTGACAACAAAGGAGCTCGATCTACTTCGGA